TGTGAGCTCAAGGTCAGCCTGATCTACATAGTGAGTTCCAAGACAGCCTGAACTACATAATACAGAGAACTGTCTCAAAAAAGAAAGAAAAAGGAAAAACAAAGAAAAGGAAAAAATAAATAAATTTGACAAGCTTCAAAGTGCAAATTGTACACTGATGGTTATCTCACTTAATACGAGTTGTCTCTAATGATGCTGATATTGCAACACGCATGAGACGGAACCCCTACACATTCCTGAAGATACGTTAGATCATGTAAATTATACACATTGGATCTATTCACCTTGTCCACTGAAGCAATCAAGGCAACCAGTGAGCAAATGGACACGGCTGTGTTTAAATACAGCTCCAGAAACGTTGAGATTTGAATGCACACACTTTTGTCATCATTACTGTCTTCCGAGACTCATATGGCTAGCTCCTTAGCTCCTTCAAGCCTTTCTCCAGACCAAGCTGCCTAAAACTGTAAGTGACACGGTGACCCCGCCTTGTCCTCACCCACTCTCACCCTCCTTATCCTGTGATTTTCCCAGAGCACTTAGGGCCTTCTAAAACAATGTGTCATTTACGTATGTATTTTTGCCTTCCTTGCTAGACAACAAACTTCTCAATTACAGAGTTTGCTGCTAACAACTTCATAGAGCCCTCTAAAGGGCCCAGAAGACTTCCTGGCACACAGTTGATATGTGAAAACTTAGTTGAATAATTAAACAGATGTGTTACTGGCTTATGAAACTCTCAACGACCACGGAGTTGGGGTTCAGGACATTTGGTAATGAAGTGTTTCTCTTTATGGTTCCCTTTGAAGTATTTAGAGAGCTTGGTCTTCAGAAATGAGGCTGTGCACCTTTTGTTTCAAAGGCCCAGTATGGCAGTTTGAATGAGAATGCCCACACCTCCTGCCCCATAAAAGCCATATATTTATGTTTAGTCCCCAAGTGACTAACTGATTGGAAAGATTAGGTGAGCTTTGAGGTTTCGAAAGCCTAAGCCAGGCCCAGTGTCTCTCTGCCTATTGCCTCTTAAAACTTCAAGCAAACCCCCAATTAAATGCTTTCTTTATAGGAGTTACCTTGGGCCTGAAGTCTCCTCACAGCAATAGAACAGGAACTAAGACAGGTCCCTTCAAATTTAGAAGAACTAAAAAGACAAATGGCATTTTAAATATGAAATGTTACATGTTTATAAATGGCCACGGGTCTTTCCCATGATTAGCCTCATCCCCTGCTCAAGTGGGTGGGTGGTCCCTTTGGCATTCTCATCCCCTGCTCAAGTGGGTGGGTGGTCCCTTTGGCATTCTCATCCCCTGCTCAAGTGGGTGGGTGGTCCCTTTGGCATTCTCTATGACCCTTTCTCCAGCCTCCTCTCCACTTCAGTGGCCAGGGCTGATGACCCTGTGTCTGTGTTAGCTGACAACTTGGGAACCTAAAACAGAAATAGACCAGAGCAAACAACTTGGAGTTTTGTTCTAAAGTGTCAATTTCAGAAAACAAGTCTGAACTCTGTTCCCTTAAGAAATCCACGATGGGGCTGGAGAGATGACTCAGCAGTTGAGAGTACTTTCAGCTCTTGCTGAAGACACCTGTTTGGTTTGCAGCACCCACAAGGTTCACAAACGCCTGTAACTTCAGTTCCTAAGGATCTGATCTTTGCAGACTCTTAAATGCATGAAGCACATTTAAAGGCTCACAGGCTCACACACATATAACATGAAAAGTGAATAAATCTTTCTAAAGAAATGCACTATCCGCTGGGCGTTGGTGACGCACGCCTTTAATCCCAGCACTCGGGAGGCAGAGGCAGGTGGATCTCTGTGAGTTCGAGGCCGGGCTGGACCCACAGCCTCCAAAACAATACAGAGAAACCCTGTCTCGTAAAACCAAAAAAAAAAAAAAAAAAAGAGAGAGAGAGGGAAAGAAAAGAAATACACTATCTACAACTATGTGAAAATGTATATTTTTTCTTAAGCTTACTTTCCTTTTTTTCCCTAAAATTTTATTAATTATTCAATGAACCACAGTATGTGACGGTTGCAAAACTCCTTGTACTGCTTCTCTTGATTTGCTTGGTATGCAACTTAATTGGGAAAATGTGAATTGTCCTGGTAAGCCCCGCCAGAACTGAACTCTGGTCTTACGGCATACCTGAGACTTCTCATTATTTACTCATCACTTTCTGACTCTAGATAAGAGGCACTTATTTACTTATCTGTGTTTATTATTACAGTTAAACTTCTTGAAATTAGAAACAACAGCCCCACAGATGCAACAGTGTTAAATTATCCACTTCTGAACTAAGGTGAGATGTATAGTTGGCTTAGCCCCAAAAGGTTCAATGGCACCCCTCAACCTGCCATGAACGGCTTCTCTTGTTCAAGCCCCTGCCTTTGTCCACAGCCAGCCAGCTGTCGCTGTCTTCCTCCAGCTTCTGTGTCTTCCCCTTTCATCCCCATCGTTGTTCATTTTTTGCCTTTGTACATCCTCTTCCAGCAACATAAGTTATCATTTTGACTGCAGATGGACCCTCACTATCTTTAAGCCACAGTTAATATGTTTCTCTCTGTCTCTGTCTCTCTCTCTGCTTTTTCAACTGAATCAAAGTACAGTCAGACTATCACTGCTCTCCAGTGTTGGAAAAACAATTTGCAGCTAGGATTAGAAGGATCTTAAATTTAGCAAGAACACTTAATTATCTCCAGAACACAATGGGTGACTACTTAGGCAGGCAAGCATAGGAGAGTTTATCTTAGCACCCCAATTTGGTTTTGGGGCTATGCACATATCCCTCTTACAATAATGCACATATCCTCCTTACAATAATGCACATACCCCTCTTACAATAATGCACATATCCCCCTTACAGTAATGCACATATCCCCCTTACAATAATGCACATATCCCCCTTACAATAATGCACATACCCCTCTTACAATAATGCACATATCCCTCTTACAATAATGCACATACCCCTCTTACAATAATGTCCATATCCCCTTTACAATAATGTACATATCCCCCTTACAATAATGTGCATATCCCTCTTACAATAATGCACATATCCCCCTTACAATAATGCACATATCCCTCTTACAATAATGCACATATCCCCCTTACAATAATGCACATATCCCCCTTACAATAATGCACATACCCCTCTTACAATAATGTCCATATCCCCTTTACAATAATGCACATATCCCCCTTACAATAATGCGCATATCCCCCTTACAATAATGCACATATCCCTCTTACAATAATGCACATATCCCCCTTACAATAATGCACATATCCCCCTTACAATAATGCACATATCCCCCTTACAATAATGCACATATCCCTCTTACAATAATGCACATATACCCTTACAATAATGCACATATCCCCCTTACAATAATGCGCATATCCCCCTTACAATAATGCACATATCCCCCTTACAATAATGCGCATATCCCCCTTACAATAATGCACATATCCCTCTTACAATAATGCACATATCCCTCTTACAATAATGCACTTGGCAGCCTTGTTCCTCCACTTGCATGTAACACAGCACATACATGCACACACACTCACATACACACCCCACACATGCATACTCTCTCCAAACAATTCACCTAGCATACATCCAGCTATATGTACTTCCATCTGTAAATAATGTTTTTTCACCCTTTGTAACAATCACACTCAAACCATTTCTACTCCAGTATTTTCCAAATATATGGGGTATAAAGATTAGAAGAGCCAAGCCAGCCTGGTTTGGGGTACAGGCACAGGGAAGGGAAAACTATGCCCTCTAATAACCCTTTAAGGGGCATCTACTATTTACTATTTCATGTCTGTGCATATAATTAAAACCAGATGCATTGTGGGAAGGGACATGAGCAGTAGAGAAATGATTATATAACCTAACCTATCAATTAAAATAAAGAATCATCTATATAGTAACCAGTCCCTCTCTCCTTTGGACCCAGTGAAACCAGAGACCCAGGCTGTAGCCTGAGACCCTTGGTACGCTCACTCATGTGGTCTGCTGTCCCTCTGTAAGCGGCACTGTAGCTTTGCTCAAAAAACAAAAAACAAAAACAAACAAAAAACCAAACAAAAAGACCTATCTTGCTTTTGCAAATTTGTGTGAACCCTATTTCCAGTTCTTTAGATAAGAGGCCAAGAAACACCCAGCTCAGACTTCAACCACTGATAGCTCTGATAAAAACAGAAAGTTTTAAACGAGCATTTTAGACAATCAGTCCTATTGCAGAGTGAAGAAATAATCAGGAAGGCTGTTTGTGACTCCAGAGCCAGGGAATCAGACATTCATTCAGGCAAAACACCAATACACATAAGAGAAAAGAAAAAAGAAAAGGCAAAACCGGCTCTAGGCAATCAGTGAGGTAATTAAAGTCAGTGAAAGTGACGTGGGCTTGATTTGAGGTCATAGCCGTGAGACTGAAGAGGATATAAAGGACGGCAGGAGATAAATGGCCTACTGGGGGCAGTGGCTGAGAGTCTAGGGGAAGGGGAGGCCGGTTTCTGATGTCTGACTTTGCTGTGGTGGCACTGGGGTTGTATGCTATCTGTGCATCACTCCAACTAGTCCGGAAGACGTCCTTTCTTTTCGGCTTTTGCCTTATCGGCGTTCAAAGAGGAGCAATTAATTAATACGCTCAAAATATTAAGCGGCAACTCTGAGCCAATGAGAGCCATAAACGATCGCAGAAAGCCTAAAGACACCATTTCTTGTTGGCCTCTTAGCTTTGATTTTTGCCTCCTGTAACAAGAAAAGGAGTTAGACCAAGAAGCGCCGCTCGCTCCCGTCTCGCTTTCGCTCCATTGTACAACTAGGAAGCTGACAATAAAGTTTATTTGAGCGTCGACGTGCCCCGACGTGGCCCCGCCTTCTCAGCCGCAGCGCTGATTGGCGGGCGCTTGCGGGCCTCGGGAGTCCCTAAGCCGCGATTGGCGCCGGCCGCCGTCCGTCCGGAGCGTCGGGCGCCGCCCCGCCCCCTCGCCGCGTCGCCGGTGCCTGCGCCGCCCGCCTCTCCTCTTTTTTTCCTGTCCCGGCGGAGGCCCGGGCGGCCAGCGCGAGCAGCGGGGACCATGTTCCGACGCAAGCTCACGGCCCTGGACTACCACAACCCCGCAGGCTTCAACTGCAAAGGTGGGCGGCGACCGCGGCGCCGGGCGACGACTCCTCCCCAGCCCGCCCGCACCAGGACAGGGCGACCCGGCGGCCGCTACCCCGCCGCCCGCCGCACGCTTCCCGGCCCCGGGGCGGCTCGGCGGGCACCTGCTGGGGCAGCGGGGCAGGGACGGGGCCCGGGGAGGCCTCCGGGGCGCGCAGAAAGTTGGTGGCCGGCTGCCAGGGGCTGGAACGGTCCCGCGGGAAACGCTTGGTTTTGAAGTCCCGCGGGACCGGGAGTGTGGGGGCGCCAGGGCCTCAGGACGTACAGGTGGGAGGCCGTTTCCAAGCGGGGCAGCGGCGTTTGAACTCAGGAGGCTATCACGGGCTATCTTTTTTTTTTTTTTTTTTTAACTTGGGGTGGTGGGTGGTGGTAGATCCGAAATCAGGGTTCGAGCCTCAGTTCTCTGACGTGTAAATGAGGACCTCTGCTGAGTATTTTGGGGGAAAATCTAAGGAAGCAAATGCATCCTGGTAACAGTACACTCTCTCCCCCAGCTTTCAGTTTTAAATATTCGCGTTGAGGGTGTTCTGATAGTTTATTTCTTGTTAATTATACTCTTGCTTCCAAGCTTTTACCTGTCCAATACCCCTTATGCTGTCAACCAACCGAAGTACACTGTCTCATGCATGTTTTTGTTCATTGAATACTCAAAACAACCCCACGCAGTAAGTCCCATCATTACCCTCGTCTTTTATCCGAAGAATCTGAAGTTAGAGAGCGTATCCCGATTTCTGAGGTCCACCCAGAGTGGATCTGTGGCCCCAGAGAGGCTGAGCTTTGAACTCTTGCTTACTTCTCTTGGTTGGGGGTGGAGGTCAGTTTAGCTTAGTGTTTGCAGGTAGGAAAGCCACAGAGGATCACCAGATCTAGTGACTTGATATGTGCATGTTTTTGTTGCAGATGAAACCGAATTTAGAAACTTTATTGTTTGGCTGGAAGACCAGAAAATCAGACACTACAAGATTGAAGACAGAGGTAACTTGAGAAACATCCACAGCAGTGACTGGCCCAAGTTCTTTGAGAAGGTAAACCTCATTTTCTAAATGACACGACATTCCTTAATAGGGCTGCCTGCTATAGTTGTTATGCATGTGTTTGTGTTGTGGAGCGTCCACAGAGACCAGAAGAGTACATCAGAGCTCCTGGAGCCGGAGTTACGTTAAGACACAAAAAATGCAAGAATATGCTTTTGAGGTCTTGTCCTAGTTACTTTTCTGTTGCTATAAAGAGACACCGTGACTGAGAAAACTTATAAAAGAAAACATTTATTTGGGGACTTGCCTACAGTTACAGAGGATGAGCCCGCGGCTGTCATATGGGAACTTGGCGGCAGGCAGGCAGGCAGGCGCTGCCTTAGATAGGAGGAGACAGAGCAACCTTGATAGGAGGAGACAGAGCAACCTGGGAATTGAGGTAGGGTGGCTTTTGAACTTTAAAGCCTACCCCCAGTAACATACATGCTACAGCAAGATGTGGTCTAATCCTCTTAATCTTTCCCAAACCAGTTCCACCAACCGTGGACCAAGCGTTCAAATGCACGAGCTTATGGAGGCCATTCTCATCGAGACAGTGAGAGTACTCCTATTAAAAGATGTAATCGACTAACCTGGGCACTTGAAACTGGCATGTCTATTCTTTGTCCCTGTATTAGATAGAAATGGTTCTGAAAAGCTCTGGATGTTTTTGTGACTAGAATTACATTTCCCATTGATTTATTTTAATTGTGATATTTTTCAGAAAGAGTTGTTTCTAGAACTATAAAAATCTGGTCATTATGATGTTGTCAGTGAAAGGGAGTGACGGTGGCCCCTGTGTCCTTGTGTTGTTGATGAGCCGTGTACCCGATCTGCCTGTGCCCACAGAGGTCACCCATAGCAAGGCCAGCATGCTTATTGCCACCATCTTTACTTCTGGTTTATTTTTGCTTACCCTTAAACTTTTTTCAATTTTCAGTGGGCTTTTTAAGATTTTAAAATGCAATACTAGTGTTTTCTGTTTGTTCACTTGACCGCAGTGGCTGTTCCTTCATGTAAAAGGTACAAATGATGGGAAGTATGCAGAGAGTAAAGGTAATTGTATAAAAGACTCAGACTAGTAGTAAAATAAAGATAAACCATAATCCACCCAAATACTATCAGGAATGTCCCTGTTTAAGACATATTTGCAAACATCTACCTGGTGATAAGCTCTAGATTTTAAGTTGTAAATTGTATTTTTAAAATATTTTAGTACTGACAAGTTTGTGTGTGTGTGTGTGTGTGTTGGCTTTTTCATTTTTCAAGACAGTGCTTTTCTCTGCCCCTGCTGTTCTGGAACTCTTTGTAGACCAGGCCTCAAACTCAGAGAGATCCGCCTGCCTCTGCCTCCTGAGTGCTGGGATTGAAGGCTTGCGTCACCATCTAACCCTACTATGACAAGTGTTTTTTGATCATGGCCACATCTTGTGAATGAGATTTACTTTGTTTATTAAAGGAATAAAATCTTTGATTAGAACATGAATTGTGACAAAAAATATCAATTCATAAATTATCACTGAGGATTTTGATGGAAAACTTTGTTGCTAGAATGTACTTTCAGCTGTTGGGAGACTAAAGGATCCTCTAGTGGGCCTAAAATGCTTGGCTATAGTTGGCACCCATGTTCCATGGCTTGCTCTATTAAGCATTTGTGACATTTATATATGAAAGTTAAAGTTCCAATAACTGACTGAATTGTCTGTCCTATTAAAGAACTTTATCATTTTATCTAGCTGCCCTGTGCACTGGGATCTGGAATTAAAGCTAAGGTTCTGGTCCCAGATCTAAGTTGTGTAGCCACTGCTGAGTGTCAGATTTCTCTAGACTGCAGGTTCCTCATCTAAATGAGGTTATTCTTGAGTCTAGCTGTCCTTCCTGGACTCTTCCAGGTTTTTCGAGACGGGGTTTCTCTGTGGTTTTGGAGGCTGGCCTGGCAGTCGCTCATGTAGACCAGGCTGGTCTTGAACTCACAGAGATCCACCTGCCTCTGCCTCCTGAGTGCTGGGATTAAAGGCGTACACCATCACCACCCAACAATACAGACATTTTTAAAAAGGAATGTTTCATTATTTAACTTAAAATGATATTCTTGTTTTCATCTCCCGAGCTGTATAATGATGTCAGAGGTTCAATAATGATAGATGTGGTGATGTGCACTGTAGTCCTGGTACCTGGGAGGTGGAGGAAGGAATCGGGATTTGAAGCCAGGCTTCTATATCTGGGATCCAAGGCCAGTCTGGACTACACTATCTCAAAACGTTAATAATACAAATGCTGTAAGAAATTCTTAAAGATCCAAACTGAAACCTCTGTCAGGTCTGCTGTTCTGCAGTTCTGTGGCTATATGACAGTGAAAGATGTCTTTGCCCTTCTCTTTACAGTATCTCAAAGATGTAAACTGTCCTTTCAAGATTCAGGAGCGGCAAGAAGCAATTGACTGGCTTCTCGGTTTAGCTGTTAGACTTGAATATGGAGATAATGGTATGTTTTGTGGGGAATGTGAGTGTGGGAGTGGGCTTGTGGGGCTTTTAAAAAGACTTATGTTTTTAGTTGTATGTGTATCGTATATACATCCTGGTGTCTGTGGAGGCCAGAAGAGGACATCAGAGCTCCTGGAACTAGAGTTTCCCAAATAGCTATGAGCTGCCATGTGGTTACTGGGGAGCAAACCCAGGTACTCGGACAGTGATCCTAACTGCTGAGCCACCTTGCCAGCCCATGTTTAGTGGATGGTATAAAATGAGAAAGAAGGTTGTAGGAACACTTCATTGTCTTACATTTTACTTTCGATTTATTTATTTATTTATTTATTTTGGTTTTTCGAGACAGGGTTTCTCTGTGGCTTTGGAGGCTGTCCTGGAACTAGCTCTTGTAGACCAGGCTGGCCTCGAACTCACAGAGATCCGCCTGCCTCTGCCTCCCAAGTGCTGGGATTAAAGGCATGCGCCACCAACGCCCGGCCTTGATTTATTTTTATCACAAGAAGTGGAACGTGCTTTATTTTGTCTTTATGCTAACATTTTTCTTTTAGAATTTGGAAATTAATTTCAGAAAAAGGTTAGTTGAACACCTAAACAAAGAAACATGATTTTGATTAATTTGTCAGCTTCCACTGTCTGCACCTTAGCCTTTGATACCCATGGGGTTTGGAGTACTGGTTGCAGCAGCTGTTTCACAGGAGAAAAACATGCTAGTGTGTGTAATGGCAGTGCACATTCAGACAGCGTGGGCCAACAGGTGTGGGTTATGTTAGTCTTGCTGTCTCCACGTCCTTCTACTGTTGGAAGCTTTTGAGTGTGGGTGCCAAGAGGAAAGCAGCTTTTCATTACACTTGTTGCCTGTCATTAGACATCTCCGCTTTGCAGCCTGTTTTTCCTCGTGGCACTGTCGTTTCAGTTCCTTGGCAGTTTGCTATGAAACCTGTCTGCTGTTTAGCTTCTCGTCCCCTCCCATCCTGTTACCATTAGTCTTTTTCCGTTGCATCACCCTGTCCGCTGCTGTCACCCTGCTTCAGCTTCTTGTCAAGCTCTGATTTTATCTTGTTAGCTAGTGTCCCAGTGGTTCTGCCTTCTGTTCTCAGCTGCATGGTCCACTAACTGATTGTAGAATGCAGCTTCTTTCTCAGAAACAGCTCTGGTTACATCTTCTCAATCATTATCATTTTACACGCACACACCCTCCCCCCTTTTAGTTTTATTTGAAAATACAAAACAACCCTGTGGTTTCTTCCCATTGTGGAATAAATATGACTATAAGCCTTGCGCCCTCAATCTTGCTAATGTTCAGGGCCTTTAGAGGTTTTCTGTGGGAGGGCATTTGCAGTTGAGTATCCTGGGATCGTGGACCTTATCAAAGCTGATCCTCACTGCATTCGCTCTGGTTTGTGCTGGCCCTCAGTGTTGGTGGCCTGTGCTGTGCTCCCACAATTGATTAGCATATGCACTCATTTCTCAAATAGTGTGAGCTCAATAAAAACTTGTGTATGAAATAACGGTATTTTTGTGTTGGAAAAAGAAAAGCTGAAAGATAGATAGTATCAAAAGTGTATTAAACATCTAAACTACAGTTTCAGCATTGCAGGAGCAGAGACTTCTAGATGGCTCAGGCAGCAGTGCTGGCCTTCACCAGCAGGAGGTGCTGATGTTCTTGACTTTAAACTACTTCAACTGTTGAAATTATTGTAGATTTTTTTTGTGTGTGTCCTGCCGTTACTAAAAACCTTTTCAATCACATGCCAATCAAAGTGACTAAGATGGTTTAAATTTTACTACTTTTTAAAGTTTGTATTCATAGGAAAATTGTAATAGTACCAAAGAATACTAAGATCTGAGAAGCCATTTTTAGCAATAAGTTTGTTACTTGTTTTAAATATTTGTGAAGTGGAAACAAAATGCCTTCAGATTTTTAATTTCCATGATACAATTTAAATTTATGATACTAGCCGGGTGGTGGTGGCGCACTCCTTTAATCCCAGCACTCGGGAGGCAGAGGCAGGCGGATCTCTGTGAGTTCGAGGCCTGGCTGGACCGACAGCCTCCAAAACAATACAGAGAAACCCTGTCTCGTAAAACCAAAAAAAAAAAAAAAAATTATGATACTACATTTTAAGTGGTTTTGAGTTTTGGTTTGAAAGCAGTATTTTAGGTATTGAAAAGGTTTGGGGGAAAACTTACTTTCTGTTTTAAAACTTGAGACAGGTTTTTGCCCGGTTGCCTAGTGTCACTGAATTTGATTTGTAGTTCAGTTAGGCCTGCAACTTGTGACCCTTCTGCTTGGCCTCTGTAACTGGGGTCATGGGTATAGTGTGTGTGTGGGGTCATGGGTATAGTGTGTGTGTGGGGTCATGGGTATAGTGTGTGTAGGGGGTCATGGGTATAGTGTGTGGAGTCATGGGTATAGTGTGTGTGTGTGGGGGGTCATGGGTATAGTGTGTGTGTGTGGGGTCATGGGTATAGTGTGTGTACGGGTCATGGGTATAGTGTGTGTGTGTGGGGTCATGGGTATAGTGTGTGTAGGGGTCATGGGTATAGTGTGTGTGTGTGGGGTCATGGGTATAGTGTGTGTAGGGGGTCATGGGTATAGTGTGTGTGGGGTCATGGGTATAGTGTGTGGGGGGGGTCATTGGTATAGTGTGTGTGTGTGGGGTCATGGGTATAGTGTGTGTGGGGGTCATGGGTATAGTGTGTGGGGGGGTCATGGGTATAGTGTGTGTGTGTGTGGTCATGGGTATAGTGTGTGTGTGTGGGGTCATGGGTATAGTGTGGGGGGGTCATGGGTATAGTGTGTGTGTGGGGGGTCATGGGTATAGTGTGTGTGGGGGTCATGGGTATAGTGTGGGGGTCATGGGTATAGTGTGTGTGGGGGTCATGGGTATAGTGTGGGGGTCATGGGTATAGTGTGTGTGTGTGGGGTCATGGGTATAGTGTGTGGGGGGTCATGGGTATAGTGTGTGTGTGTGGGGTCATGGGTATAGTGTGTGTGGGGGTCATGGGTATAGTGTGTGTAGGGGGTCATGGGTATAGTGTGTGGGGGGGTCATGGGTATAGTGTGTGTGTAGGGGGTCATGGGTATAGTGTGTGTGTGGGGGGTCATGGGTATAGTGTGTGTGGGGGGTCATGGGTATAGTGTGTGTGTGTGGGGTCATGGGTATAGTGTGTGTGGGGGTCATGGGTATAGTGTGGGGGGTCATGGGTATAGTGTGTGTGTGTGTGGGGTCATGGGTATAGTGTGTGGGGGGGTCATGGGTATAGTGTGGGGGGGGGTCATGGGTATAGTGTGTGTAGGGGGTCATGGGTATAGTGTGTGGGGGGGGTCGTGGGTATAGTGTGTGTGTGGGGGGTCATGGGTATAGTGTGTGTGGGGGGGGTCATGGGTATAGTGTGTGTGTGTGGGGTCATGGGTATAGTGTGTGTGTGTGGGGTCATGGGTATAGTGTGTGTGTGTGGGGGGGTCATGGGTATAGTGTGTGTGTGTGGGGTCATGGGTATAGTGTGTGTGTGGGGGGGGTCATGGGTATAGTGTGTGTGTGTGGGGTCATGGGTATAGTGTGTGTGTGGGGTCATGGGTATAGTGTGTGTGTGGGGGTCATGGGTATAGTGTGTGTGGGGGGGGTCATGGGTATAGTGTGGGGGGTCATGGGTATAGTGTGTGTGGGGGGGTCATGGGTATAGTGTGGGGGGGTCATGGGTATAGTGTGGGGTGGGGTCATGGGTATAGTGTGTGTGGGGGGGTCATGGGTATAGTGTGTGTAGGGGGTCATGGGTATAGTGTGTAGGGGGTCATGGGTATAGTGTGTGTGTGTGGTCATGGGTATAGTGTGTGTGGGGGGGTCATGGGTATAGTGTGTGTGTGTGGTCATGGGTATAGTGTGTGTGTGTGGTCATGGGTATAGTGTGTGTGGGCTCATGGGTATAGTGTGTGGGGGGGTCATGGGTATAGTGTGTGTGTGGGGTCATGGGTATAGTGTGTGTGGGGGTCATGGGTATAGTGTGTGGGGGGTCATGGGTATAGTGTGGGGGGTCATGGGTATAGTGTGTGTGTGTGGGGTCATGGGTATAGTGTGTGTGTGGGGTCATGGGTATAGTGTGTGTAGGGGGTCATGGGTATAGTGTGTGTGGGGGGGTCATGGGTATAGTGTGTGTGTGGGGTCATGGGTATAGTGTGTGTGGGGGGGGTCATGGGTATAGTGTGTGTGGGGGGTCATGGGTATAGTGTGTGTGTGGGGGTCATGGGTATAGTGTGTGTGGGGGGTCATGGGTATAATGTGTGGGGTCATGGGTATAGTGTGTGTGTGGTCATGGGTATAGTGTGTGTGTGTGTGTGTGTGGTCATGGGTATAGTGTGTGCGAGGGCCGCGAGTGTCCGTTTGTCCATGTCTGTTCTCTCCCAAATTTAAGAGCAAGGTATGAAAGACTTTATTTCCTAAACTTTAGACGCTGAAATATATTTAGGGAAGTTTATGCCTGTAATCCAAGCATCTAGGAGGTAGGGGCAGTAGGGTTAGACTTCAGGGCCAGCCTTAGCTCAGAAACATTAATGAGAAGAAACTTGTGTCAAGTGTTTCCAGTAAGCAAGCATTTCAACTTAATCATAAAGTTACTTATCTTTTTTTAGTTTTTGTGTAGAAAAGTATAATTTTGAATGATTGTCACAATGGCTCAGCTAAATTCAGTAAATAATACTTATTTTAACCTTAAGTTGCTTGGTTGCTTTTTTGTTTGTTTTTTGTTTTTTAGCTGAAAAATACAAGGACTTAGTTCCTGATAACCAGAAAAATACTGACAACGCAGCAAAAAATGCTGAGCCATTGATCAACCTGGACGGTGAGTGTGTGATGGCACAGGCGACAGTCTTGTTTTGTAAATGCTGTCTCCTTGTAGACTGAGGGCTGGTGTGACTTAGTAATGCTTGCATTGAATGGCACTGACTGTGTTCTCTCCGGTTCTCTCTGGTATTTTACTGTCAGTTTCAGTATGCTTCTCTCTCCCCCACCCCTCACCATTGAGTGTTAAAAATGCCGGTGGCCTTTTGCTCCAAGTAATTTGAATTTTGATGTCTTATTCATCATACCAGTCATTGGTCACCTTCCTGGCTGTATAATTTATTATTTTAATGTAGTGACAAATGATAAAATTTTCGTTATTTTAAGTCCAGGTGCATTTTTTTTTTTGTTTGTTTTTGTTTTTGTTTTTTTCAAGACAGGGTTTCTCTGTATTGTTTTGGAGGCTGTCCTGGAACTCGCTCGGTAGACCAGGCTGGTCTCAAACTCACAGAGATCCACCTGCCTCTGCCTCCCGAGTGCTGGGATTAAAGGTGTGCGCCACCAATGCCCGGCCCAGGTGCACTTTTAAAATTCCCTTTGAAAGTGGAATTATAAAAATTACCTAGAGTGTGGTGTGTTAAATATGCTTTCATCAACCGAGTCACGTGACCCTCAACATGAGTTATCCTAGAGACTGACTGAGCTCCGTGCACACTCAGAGCCACTGAGCACAGAAAAGCATGGGGAAAACTATCTGTTGAGGACATCTGTATTAAAATTAATCTCTTTGAGAGGAAGCATTAATTAAAAGTGTCTGTAACTGGGCCTTACAGACCACTCGGGGCAGACTCAGGGTTAAATTAGTCATCTGTGAACTTGCTTGATGGGTGGTGAGGCTGGTTAGGAGACCTCCCCCATTGTCCTAACTGTCGGTGTGCTGGGGCATGGGTGGGGCATGGCTTTTGGCTTTCCTCAAAAGCAGCACAAGGACTGGAGATAGTCCCACAAAGTTGGTGCTTTTGTAAGTTCACATGTCCAGATAAGTAAGTATGATGTTTGCAGAACTCTGAAAGTTTTGCTTACTCATTTTTAATCTTTTCTAGTAAATAATCCAGATTTTAAGGCTGGTGTCATGGCTCTGGCTAACCTCCTTCAGATTCAGCGTCATGACGATTACTTGGTAATGCTTAAGGTAAGTGGCCCACTTTATTCTTGACAGAAACTGCATATGGAGAAGAATCTTCACTTTTCTATATGCTGTCTAATTTACCTATTTGTGGTGGGCTGATAAAGGGACATTCAGGGGCATGTGAGTCCTAGAGCACACCTCGTTAATTTATGTTTTCACATTGCCATCAGTAAGCTGGTATCCAAGCATTAACTTTGTGCACACAGCTTTGACTTTGCAGAAATAAAATATCACTCAACCCTATTAATAATTAGGCTGAGAAATACTAAAATCAAATCAAGAAAACAAAAAACTGGGGCCTAGGGTGCTGGCTGGGTTGGTGAGTGCTCATCACGGAAGCCTAAGGGCGAGTTTAGAAGTCAGCACCAGTGAGAAACAAGCACACAGAGACCGGTGGACACCAGGGCATGCTGGCCAGCCAGTCAAGCCAAGTCAGTGGGAGCCGTCTCAGACCATTGCCTTTATAGACAGACTGTAGGAGAGAAAGGTTAGTCCTTATATACAGACGATGTAGTAAGAAAGGTTAGTCTCTATATACAGACTGTAGGAGAGAAAGGTTAGTCCTTATATACAGACGATGTAGGAGAGAAAGGTTAGTCCTTATATACAGACTGTAGGAGAGAAAGGTTAGTCCTTATATACAGATGATGTACTAGAGAAAGGTTAGTCCTTATATACAGACGATGTAGTAAGAAAGGTTAGTCCTTATATACAGACTGTAGGAGAGAAAGGTTAGTCCTTATATACAGACGATGTAGGAGAGAAAGGTTAGTCCTTATATACAGACTGTAGGAGAGAAAGGTTAGTCCTTATATACAGATGATGTACTAGAGAAAGGTTAGTCCTTATATACAGACGATGTAGTAAGAAAGGTTAGTCTCTATATACAGACTGTAGGAGAGAAAGGTTAGTCCTTATATACAGACGATGTAGGAGAGAAAGGTTAGTCTCTATATACAGACTGTAGGAGAGAAAGGTTAGTCCTTATATACAGACGATGTAGGAGAGAAAGGTTAGTCTGACAAAAGGTCAGGAGCAACTGGCAGTCACCCAGCACCAGCCTTCAATTTCCACACGTGTGCATGCACACCCGTATGTACAGGTACACGTGAACATGCACACACCAAAAGAACAAGTTTCCTTAAGAAACTAAGACCTAGAAGAAGGTGACGAGCATTTAGGACACAGACAGTCGTGGAGCCACCTCTGTCCAGCCAAGTGAGAAGCGTGTGGTTGAGGAGGGAAACGCCAGTCGCTAATGGTGAATTTAGACACAGCCAAACCTCTTTAGGAAACAAACGACCTTGCCCTCAGTATCTTCACCTTCTAAACCCCACATGGAGAAACAGAGCTACCTAAAAGAGCATTGTTTTTGAGAGGAAACCATTCCATGCAGTTCTGCTGTGAACATGCAGTGGAGTGGACGGGGGTGGGGGGTGGGGGGTGGGGAGGTGGTGCAGACGGTAGATCTAGACACTGTTAGATGGCTGCTGTTGTGGGAGATGGAAAGCTCTAAGACCTCGAGGGTGAAGTTCACTATAAAGCACTTCATAGGAAACTAATTTTCCTCTACCCAGAAGGATTAATTTATCCTACTTAGTAGAATTATATGGGTTATATGGGCAGTTCAACAAGGAAGGTAGTGTTCTTAACTTAATAGAATATTCATGTTGAGTCCGAATGGATTTTCTCAGCCCAGCTTGGATGCCAAAGACATCAGGTTGTTGCTAGTTAAATTTGGCTGTTTTAAAGTTTTATTCTTTGCTTAATCAGTATGCAATTTCCTTGGGACATTCCCCCAGTGGTCACATCAGCTTTAGTCATAAACTAAGGGAGAAGAGAAACCGATAATGCAAGAGTATTTGGAGTACTTTTGCCAAACTTTGCTGTAACAAAAGTTTTGTGAAGTCCTAGTCTAGATTCGTACTTACCTTGTTAGGCATTCACATAGTCCTGGCACTATAGAAGGTGTCTTAGTTTTGCCAGGCCCGTGTCAGCATAGTAAGGGCTGACGTAGCTCAGAGGCAGAGTGGTTGCGAGGTGCGCGTTAGAGCTTGGGTCCAATCCCAGCATTGGGCCAGGGGTGGGCATTTATGTACTCGTCGTCTGGGAAAAGAGTAAGCATGGTGTTTTTTGGTCTCCTAGGCAATTCGAATTTTGGTTCAGGAGCGTCTGACACAGGATGCAGTTGCTAAAGCCAATCAGACAAAAGAGGTGCGTGTGTTTCTAAAAGTCTAAGCCAGCTAATGGAAATCCCTTCTGGTAGTGCGGTGCATTCAAATTTAGCCTTTTCCTAAGGCAACACATTCTGGGCCAGGCATGGTGGCACATACCTTTAATCCTAGCGTGTGGGAGGTAGAGTCAGGTAGATCTCTCTGAGTTCGAGACCAGCCTGGTCTACGGAGCAAGCTCCAGGATAGCCAGAGCTACACAGAGAAACCCTGTCCCGAAAAAAAAGATACTCATTCTGCTGCAACAGGAGAAAGGATGGCTGGCTTATGTGTGAATTCATTTGATTCTTAAGCAAATTTAGTCTATTCACTGACTGAGGTTCAGACAGATGGGTGAGCAGTGAATTGCATGTCTGTCCACATTTCACTTTCTAGAAAATCTCAGTTATCCATTCAGTGGAAAAAGGATTTAGCCTTGTGGAAGTATTGGATTGTTTTGATGCGTGGTAGAAAAGGCAGGACACACTACTGTCGTGTTAAGACTAGGTCCCATCTTCACACTGCAGGTCTTTGTAATTTATCTCATTTTGTTCAGTGTACCATGACTACCTCCCCCTTGAAGAATGCTACTGGAATATTTTTAACCTTGCCACTAGTTCAGATACTCCTGATAATGCCAGGTATAGAGGTGTAACTTAATTCTAGTACTAGGGAGACAAAAGATCTTTGTGACTTCAAGTCCAGACTACATAGTAAGACCCTCTCAAAAAAAGGAAAAGAAAAATGGAATCTCCCCAAAGCTACAGTGTAGAGGAGCTGCTGCAGCTGCCAGTAATGGTCCTGTCTTACTACAGATGTTGAAATGGATGCTCTGTGCCTGCCCCCACCCCCATTCCCTCTCAAGGCCTCCAGTGCCCTTCGTCCTCTGACCCCTTAGCCAAGTCCAGCAGTAGAGAAGGGCTGCTTATTCCAGTCAGTGCAGTGCCGGCCTCTGAAAGACACTCAGCTTTCTGCTAAAGGTTCTTACTAACTTGATGGTGTAAGGATTGGCCACTGGAAACTGGGTCAAAGATCAGCCTGTTTCACCCACACTATAGAACAAGCAACAAACTGTTCTGACATGATAGTCATTCATTTACCAAAATGTCGTTGGTTTGCGAAACAGTGCTGAACAGAACTCTACCGCTATTACAAAGTACAATCTAGCTCCATCTTCAGTGCTACAGTTTGTAACTTGAGATTACTGGTCTTGGTAGCCATTCCTGACTAATACTTGAGGGCTGTGGTTCCTTGGTGGTCTGTTGGCAGGGGAAAGGACCCCAGTCTGTGGTACCAGGTGACACACACAGCCATTCAAATGGACAAGTCTTATCTTTGTTATTAGTTCTGTTAAAGCAGATAGAGCCTGGGTGGAGCATGTTAGGGGGTAGGTAAGAACTTAGCAGTAACTAATCACTGCTAATGATCTTCAACGACTTTCTGCCTTCCTGAATTAGATAGTTATTGTAAAGACTGTAGAGATTGGTGTCGTCATCCTGAAATATCTAGGTGTAGGTGCTAATGAGTTGAAAAATTAAACCATTTGAATAAGTTCATAACAAAGTAACTAGAAGCAGTCCCTAAACTGAACGGCCAGCTGCTCTTTGGTTTCAAATGAGAAGAGTGACTCTTAACTAAATAGTCTTGTTTTGCCATTTTTTTTTTAAAGGGCTTACCTGTTGCTTTAGATAAACACATTCTTGGCTTTGACACAGGAGGTAAGTTATTTTGCTTTAAGTCAAGCTATTTTGAGGGACTCGGTGTTGTTCTGGGGTGTTAGTGGGGGGCTGGAAGCTCAGAAACCACGAATGCCTGTGTGTGCAGAGAGAGACAGAGAGACATGCAGTGTTCTTGTCTTGTAACAGATGCAGTTCTTAACGAAGCTGCTCAGATCTTGCGGTTGCTGCACATAGAAGAGCTCAGAGAGCTACAGACGAAAATTAATGAAGCCATAGTAGCCGTTCAGGCAATCATTGCTGACCCAAAGACAGACCACAGACTGGGGAAGGTTGGAAGATGAGCACATCAGGATTTAGCTTCTCGCCTGCTCAGTGTGCTGCGAAGAACCGTGTACACCGGCATGTGCTTGGAAATCAGATGTCACATTTCAAGGAGGAGTCCCAGGAGATTGACCGTGTTCTAGAGATCTACCACCACTGCTTTTTTTCTTTAATAAAGTTGGGGAAAGAAAGTAAAAAGGGTTTTTGTTTTGCTTTGTTTTGAAGTAATATACCCTGTTACTATACCTATTGTGCATTCTCTTTTATGGTTAGAGAGTCACCCCAACCCACAACTTTGCCATGAAGACACATTAGGCCACAAGAAAACTTTAAAATATTTTATTGGAGTTACATAGAAAATTTAACAACTGCTACATCTTTGGTGTTTTACATGGAATACTTGTGGATGATTCTGTAGAGGCACCTAGGGGATCATTCTAGCACCTTTAATATAAATAGTCTGAGGACTTTTGCTGGGAAGTATAAATAGATAGGCTGGATCATCCTGGTGAACTGCATAATCTTCTGTTCCAGGGTTCTCAGTGGACTGTAGGAACCAATTTTCATTACCAGTCATATGCCAGATAGAATCCATGGCAAAAAAAATCAGATTTGGTGTGTTAAGCTCTAGTTGGTTCTCTGGTGAATGAATTTGGTCTTTTAAATAAGTGTTTACAAAAAGTTGATTTAATAAGCAATGATTAAAATTCTTTTTTAAACTTCTGAAACCATTGTTTTTAAAAATACAGTAGTAATGATTGAGGTATACACTTCACAAATAGACTTAGTCTCACAGCACTGAGAATCTCATTTTGTGTGCCCAGAGCTCCTAACAGCCGGGTCCTTCTTCACCGCCTTTGCCTGTGTAGTACTGTTCTTAGGTCAAGATTCTTGTAGACTTGGAACCCTCCCATACACTGTATGTTCATTTTCTTCCTGAGGGAGAGGACAGCAGTGAACGTCTCATTAGTTTCGCCACATAGGAAGGAAGGCAGTGCTGGCACTTACCACAGCCCTTCCACACCTTCCTCCATCCGCTGGACCAAGGACGCATCGTGATGTACGATGCTGGACTTACCTGTTGGACAGTAGGGGTAGACTGCAGTGATCCCATAGAGGTGAGAGCGCTGCTCGGGGAGATACTCCTCAGTAAAGTGGCCACTGTCTTTATTCACTGATATAACACCATCCCTAGGACGAGAAGGAGAGGCAGCCACGGCTCAGTCATGAGACAAAGTTCCAGTAGACAACAATTTGACAGTTTTCTATATACATAAAAACAATTCAGCTAAATGAGTTTTGATTCAACTTGTCTAACATCAGTGATTCTGGACATAGCTCCTACACCAGTATTACCCGGGAACTTACAGGAAATGCAAATACTGCGTCCCCTCCCTGGGCCTTCTAAGCCAAAACCCTGGAATAGCATGCAGAATGTATTTTATTTAACATTTTGTAGTCACAAGATCTATTGGTTAAATCAGCTGCCAATTTTGGCTATGTCCTGGGGGGGGGGCGGGTCTTGAGTCAGCACTTAGATCTCATGTGAAAATTGTAGGGAGAGAAGGAAAAGGACTCAAATTCCCAACTTTGTTTTGTTTTTAAAGTCTTCTAAGCTCAGAGCCAAACTATTTTTCAGTGGCTAAGGTAGACAGTTGATGTTTTCCTTATTTTTTTTGGCTTTTCAAAACAGGGTTTCTCTGTAGCCCTGGCACTCAGCAGACCAAGCATTCACCTGAGGGCTGGGATTAAGGGTGTGTATCACCGTGCCCAGCTTGTCCTTTTCTAAAAAGGACAACTTAAAACTTTACACCATTTAAAAGTGCTCATTCTCTAAACAGATGTAAATAAATGCTTCTTTTTAAGTAGCATATGCTTCAACTTATATGCTTCCTGCAAGCAGCACCAGTAAGCCTGAGGGTGCAGTGGAAGGGTGACTTTAAAAGTCACCTGGAGGAGTGGTGCCTACTGAGGGACAGGCAGACGAAAGCTGAACAGGGCTTCCCGACTAAAGCTGCAGACCGGTAACACAGCATGCTCTCCAGAACCCTCGCACGCTCCACAGTGGGGCTCACCTCCGCCAGTCTGTGTAGTAGAAGTGGTCTGCGTAGCTGACGATGCTGAAGGGGTAATTGAGGTGATTCTGGATGACACGGCGTCCAGTTCCGTCAGGTAGGGTACACTCCAGTTTCTTGGTTCCTTTTAAGATAGCCAAGGGGGAAAATGATGGGCCAGTTAAAGTCCTCAAGGAGAATAGAGGCAGGATTTAAACGTGGGTATTTTCTGCCCACAGCAGTCCATTAGCAACTGTAAATCTTGCCCTGTGGGTTAGCTCTTGAATCCCAGTCTGATGGCTGGGAATCCAGCATGGGACTGATCAAGACCCCCTGAATGCGGGTGTCAGTGAGGAGGCCTAGGTAATCTATTGAGCCTTGGGCAGCAGATCAGTACCCATCCCAAGTATACACACGGACTTTGGACTCCCATCCAACAATGAAAGATGGACTCTCACCCTGAACTCTTGGGGGAGGTCTAGACCCTGCCCTGGATGAAATGACACTGGGAAATGAGGGGATATTGGAGGGGTTGGTAGGAGGGTGTGGGAGGAGGGGAGGGAAAGGGAGAGGGACCTGGAATTGACATGTGACGCAACCTTGTTTCTAATTTAAATTAAAAAAAAATAAAAAATGATAAAAAAAATCTTGCCTTGTGACTCAGAGCTCTAGTTTTGAGTACAGATTCAAACTTAAATCTTTTTATGGAAGAAAAAATGTAATCTATTAAAATCTTACATTTTCTTCCCAAGGGGGCATCAAAGATAAGCATTTTTATAATTTTAAGCCTACATTTGTAAGTTGAAAACATAACATCCAGATTGACCAAAATACTTACATATTTATAAATTCTACATACAAAAAAATGAAAATGAAAGTGGTAGTGGATATTTTTTATATGGAAACACTTAATTTTTGAAAAAAAAGAATTTCCATGTTCCAGGGTTTCTCTGTGTAGCTTTGGAGGCTGCCCTGGCGCTGACTCTGTAGACCAGGCTGGCCTCGAACTCACATATTTGCCTGCCTCTGCCTCCCAAATGCTGGGATTAAAGGCATCTGCCACCAACACCCAGCTGTTCTCAGATTTCTTATGAAGCAGTCTAAATTCCATGTTCAGGAAAATTCAAGAACTTTCTTATTTTCTTTAGTAAAATGAGATAAGGTGTCTTTGAGTTTTTCTAGTAATGCACAGCATACCACAAAATAGATAGCCCTGGTGTCAATGCATTTCTGAAGGAGGGCATTCTCTCACAGCACTTGTCAAAGGATCACAGCACACAAAATGATAAAATCTTACAGAGTTACACTGTGATAACAGCCCAGAAGGTTGACAAATCTCAGTTCGTTTACATGTCAACAGCAGATAATACTTCCAGGTGTTCACAGCAGGCTTAGGGAGCAATGCTACACAGTCAGGCTCCCCTCTGAACCCCAGATAAAATGCAAACTGTTCTTTTAAAGCTTACAATCTAGTAAGTATGCTCTGTATTGACAGAAATTTATACCAAAAGATCTAAAAGATGGGCAAATCCCCATAGTGCTCCCACTGCTGTGAGGAAGGCGCTGTTGTCCTTATCACCGGTATTACCTGCATCTGCCCAGCAGAGCAGTTTGGAGAAGGGATCAAAGGTTAATCCATTGGGTAATCCAATGTCTTTGTTGATCAGAATTCTTCTGTTTTCTCCATCTAAAGATGATGTTTCAATTTTAGGGGCTTCTCTATTCCAGTCTGTCCAGTACAAGTTGCTGTGGATAAATGTACATTATTATGAACAGTTATGCAGGGTTTGGAGATATAACCTAGTATGTAAAAGCCCCTAGACTAAATCTCCAGTACCCACCCCCTCACGCCCCAAAAGTATAGCCATGTAGCTTAGAGTATGCAATAGCTACACTGGCCACCACTGACCTCTTGGTATCTACAGCCTTAATCTTGAGTTATCTGAGTTTAGTGTCTTGCTCTGCAGGGGAAGCTAGATTCTATACTGCAAGCTACCCTATGAAGACATCCATGTACCCAACAGCTGGCAAAGGCATTAATGACCCTGCCAGCAGTCCATGTGAGGACTTCAGAGAGGGACCCTCTCAGCCAAGCCTTGATCATGGCATCCTGACCAGTACCTTGGTTGTGGCTTCTCGACATACCAACAGCACTTGTGTAGCTTCACCCAGAACCTTCTTCAGTTAATAAATGTCATCTTGGGCTGCTATGTGGGGCATCGATATCAACTGTCCAGATCCTTGCTCTGAGACACTCGATGCCGTTGCCCAGAAACCTTAATTTGTTGAAATCTTGAACAGGGTCTTGGGCCTAGAATCTAAAGAAATACATTTCCTATGGAAGCTCTCGTGGTAAAAACTATGGAACTAGGTGGAATTCAAGGAATAGAGGGAGAGTTTCTTGGAATAATACCCAAGGTGTTGAAGGGGACCCTTAGTTGTCCTACACCTGGCTGCCAAGACAGACTCTGACCTAACATGCAAAATACTTAGAAAACAGTATCTTGTAAAAATCTGCAAAAATCAAAATACTAAAACTTCCACGAAAGCTATAGATACTTGTCAGTTGAGCCCAGAGAGAAATGTAAGTCTCCTCTGCTGTGGACATCACTCCTTATGGGCAGCAGGAAGAGCCAGAGTTTGCAGGCTGAGATCCAAACATTGAGTGGCTTCGTTGGAGATGAGCAGCTAAGCCTCCGAGAAGCTGTGAAGACTCAGTTACACATATTGCACTTACCCTGGTGTCCTCTAGAATCTAAATGCTGGAGCACAATGACGGAACAGTTGTTCAGTTGCTGCCCTTTCAGACTAAGCCCCAGGGACTATGGAGAGGGGCCCTAGTGAAAGACCCCTACCCAGGACCCCCTAGGAAAAGAAAAGCAAGGCCAGGCCGTTGCCTAATGAAAGAAACCCAGACCAGGTATCTCACCCTCAAAACAGGATGTCTGTGATCACTATAGCAGTCATGGGACCCGGATAATAATTGCTGAAGCGTGCTGGGATCTTTCATATGACAATACGAGAAAACCTAGTCCTTGGCAACTACCCTGGCCCCCAATTGTGTCTGATCACTATAGCAATCATGGGACCCGGATAATAATTGCTGAAGCGTGCTGGGAACTTTCATATGACAATACCAGGACACCTAGTCCTTGGCAACTATCCTTGCCCCCAGTTGTGTCTATGATCACCATAGTAGTCATGGGACCAGGATAATAATTGCTGAAGCGTGCCTGGGTCTTTCATAAAGTAATACCAGGAAACTTAGTCCGTGGGAACTACCCCTGCCCCCAAGATGAGCCAATGAAATGCCTGTTACTTATGTAACCATTGAAACTCTATAAATATTGTACTCCCTGAAAGCCCGGTATGCTCTGCACCCGAGTTGCAGTAGCATCCGCAGGCGCCTGTGTACTCAATAAATCACCTCTTGCATTTGCAGCCAGTGGTCTGGCCCCGGTTCTTGGGCAGAGGGTTCGGTTCAGTGCCCGCTTTCACTAGGAGTCAGTCAGCCCTGCAGATAAGATTCCTTCATGTGTAAAGTCCAAACCAACTCACTGCCTTAAAGGACTTCTCTATAGTTTTACCTGGTGGAAGCTGTATGTCAATAATCCCAGGGACCCCTGCCCAGGCCTGTACCCCAACAAGCGACAGCCTTAGTAGTTGTCACGGAGAAGGAACTTTCTTTTTTTTTGTTTTTATGAGACAGGGTTTCTCTGTATTGTTTTGGAGGCTGTCGGTCCAGCCCGGCCTCAAACTCACAGAGATCCGCCTGCCTCTGCCTCCCGAGTGCTGGGATTAAAGGCGTGCGCCACCACCGCCCGGCGTGAGAAGGAACATTTTTATCTGGATTTTGTACATCCCCATCCAGGAAGAAAAATGCTATTCTGGCTGTAACAAGGCTTTCTCAAGGTGCTGCTGAAGGAAGCCACTGCCTTCTGTGTACCCATTATTTTCCAAGGTCCTGCCTCATGATGTCCTGATCCAGAGCCCCGGATCCTGCAAATCATCACATCCTAAGCTAGCTCTCTTGCATGTCATCCTACTTCCGGTCACATACAATGCAAGCGCCTTAAAAAAAAATCGAGACCCTTGCTGGGCAGTGACAAGTGAGCACACACCTTTAATCCAGGCACTCAGGAAGCAGAGGCAGATGGATCTCTATGGGTTTGAGGCCAGCCTGGAGTTCCAGGACAGCCAGCACCGCTACACAAAGAAACCTGTCATGGAAAACCAAAAAAGACCCTGCTTTTGCCTACAAGTATGTCTGATAAACAGCAGTGCCTCGACATATATCCAGTAAATCTGTGTATTTGAGCTTTTATTCTGATCTGCACCTTCCCATGCCATGTATAAGAGCGAGGGCCTCCCAAACAGATCTACAGGTGAAATGAGAGAGCAAAGGAAGCCAGCTAACCCTCGGATTGGATCCACAGTGATGGCTCGTGGGTTCACCAGATCTGTGTGAAAGAGGACCTTGCGCTCGGAGCCATCCAGCCCTGCCCGCTCTATCTTATCCAGGCCACTGTCTGTCCAGTACATTGTTCGACGGAAGTGGTCGATGGCAAGTCCTTCTGGGCTTATCAGACCTGGAAGCAGGGGCAGGAGACAGCATCAGCAGGGCGTGAAAGGTAAACTTCAGGACTGTATCTACGCAGCTAACAGAATCCAAAGCTTAAGGGTCTAAGTTCCCAGAGCCAAGGCTAACAGGAATTGACCTTCTGCTGCCTTTCCAACCATAGCAGCTCTCCTGTGTACGAGAGCTTACTGCTGGTGGCTCCTCGCATCCATGGTGCTGGGGACAGGGAATATACATGGCCAGACCCTGAATTCTTACTGGGACCCACTTCTTTTGAGGACATTTTATCTCAACCTGGAATCACCTTTCTGCTTCTCCCATATAAATGCATCTATTAACCGAGGGGCACAGAACTTGACCTTCCCCTTTAGATAAAAACTGGAGAAACCAGGAGGAAACAGGCCAATGACAGTCAAATAAAATGCAAGTGTCCACAGAAGGAAGCTGCTGACCTGACGTAACGATGGTCTCCGGTTCTGCTCCTGCCTCCAAGCTGGCACGGCTGATGGTGCGGCCGGCGACATCTGTCCAATAGACCATCCTCTCCCGGCAATCGTAGTCAATCCCCACAACTATGGAGCCCTTCGAGAGCCAACCATGAAATCAGAAGAGTCCCCAACACTAAGTCCGCGGCTACACTGTGCTACTGTGAGCAATTTACTGTGCTGGTGCAGGGCAGTGGAGTCCAGTGGTTAGACAGTAGGTCAAGGCCGGGCTCAGCACTTAACCTGTATGCAACACTTCAGTGAAACGTTTATGAAGACTCCTAGTGACAACTACCATACAGAAAGCCCCTCCAGCACTATTGCCACTGGCTGTAAACAGTCACCTCATGAGGAAAATCTGCTCTTCAACTGATGAGGATCGTCTCCTCAAGGTCCTTAATAGTTAAAGGTGCAGGAGGTGAATGCTTCCAAGGGTTAGTGGCATTTTCTCAAAGAACCTTTCTAAAAGCTGACACTGCATGCCAACTAAGCTTCCCCTCCTGGGTGACTAGATTAAAATCCTCTCCGACATGAGGTGCAGTCACCCCTGCCTCTTAATGTAAGTATTCAGCCGTGTGCTATAGAAGAAAGCCCATCCATATCTTAACAGTTTGAGGAACTGCGGTTACCCGGCCTTTGACTGGCCTAGTCCCCTTCCTTTCTACTGCGTCTTAGTGAGAACCCAACTCTGGGATGGTTTTGCTTGAGCTCCACACAGGACTGGCTTCTTTCCATTTCTAACTCAGATTCCTGCTGTGAGAACCCCCAGCAGATATAAGAATCAACACAGGCCACGCCAGTCCCTGCCTTGCCTGGCAAAGTCTCCTGGGGCTTGGCTTGCCTTGGGCCTGAAGCAGCAGTCACCAGGAGACACTGTACGAAGCAGAATTTGGCTCCTGCAGAAAAGCTGGCATTTATATGGGGGGATCTAAGGACGCAGTACTTTTATTTGAAAATCAAAATTAAAAGGCCCTCTATTCGAGGCAAGAGTACACATTCATGTAGGTGGCAATGAGCCCAGGGACTCATCTCATGGGCCTCATAAACTAAGCTTCTTGGTACACGGTCATAGGTCATATTTTATGTAAACTGCCCTAAAGTGTGCTTGTAATTCATGTCCCCTTTCTCCCTTAGTTCCACTATAACCATCTCTACCCTGCCCATCAGACATGTTCAGAAATGCGATCAAGCCATCCAGTGTGGCTAGAATACAAGATGGTTATTTGGCATGGATAAACTCGTAAAGTAGAGCACTCTTAAAGCTCGGGAGAGGGATGGGGCCCTGAAACTGCACTCTTAAAGTGCGGGAGAGGGATGGAGCCTGAAACTGTGCACTCTTAAAGCGCGGGAGAGGGATGGAGCCTTGAATCTTAAAAAGAAGAAAAAGACAATCTTTTATCAAACACTAGCCGCCTGAAAGCTTTCTTGGAATCAAATATAGGTCATTAAAGAAGTAAATATGGAGACCCCTGCCCTGTGTGCAGTCTGCTCAGTGCAGTGGAAACAGAGCGGCTTCTACGGGACATGCCAACGCCTCTCTTCTCCCCACTGTGGAGAGGAAGTCCCTCCTTCCACGTGGAGGGGGTGTCTTGCTAGCTCGGGATGTAAGCTCATCCTCAGGGGGCTGCAGCGGCAGTACACGCTCCCCAAAGCCACTATGGACAAGGAAAAAGGCTAACCAAAATGAAGGCACAGGCTGACAAGAGACTTCCACCCCACTGTCTCAAATGGCCAAAGAGATCACCTGTTTAGAACCTCCAGGAACTTGATCTAACAATGGTCTTTCCATAAACACTCAACAACTCCGTCCATCTGAACTTCATGAGCCCTCAGGAGACGGGTTGGAATGGGTCAGGCATGGCTTCCAGCAACTGAATCCCAGGAAGCAGACTGCAGCCCGGGAGCATGCCAGAATTCCCTGCACGGCACCTCCCTACCCTGAGGCACCAGGCTGAGGCCTTCTGAAAAGCGCCACGCACAGTCCCTCCACACAGACAATCCCATCAAGCTAGCATGCAGGCCACCCCCACCCCACCCCCAGCCTCTGGAAATCAGTTTACATGCAGGGAGAGCAGAGTCCTGGCTGCATCCTTCTGAAGCCTGCTGCCGTTGAGAGGCAAGTGGCCAATCTGCTGCCCCTGGGCATAGAGCAGAAAGGTGCCCACAGAGGGAGGCGTCACATCAGGGCGGGGCGTGGGCCGGACAGTGGGTGGAGCAACGGTGGGGATACCTGTTTGTGGAAACAAGGGCAGGTGGGAAGAAGAAAAGTTACTTTTGCACATGAGAACCTCCAAAACCATCCTTTTTTTTCACAGAACAGATACTCTTCAAAAGAAATTCTGGTTTCTATGTTTTTTCAAAGATTAATTAAATTGCTGACAGTACTCAGGACATACAGACAACAAAACTCTAGCCTCCTTTCAAAGTGGAGGGTTTTTGTTGTTTTTTGGAGAGCCAAAGGCTTACTGGGGCCCCAGGGTGGCACTGTTCCCTTTCACCCAGAGCTGGGGAGGCAGAATGACCACATGCTGGCCAGAGATCAGCTGTTCTTATAGCAGAAACTGCTAGTGGCAAAGCCAACATTAAATACAGATTGTGTCCCTGAGACACTCTGATGATACATCAACCCAGTGTATCATATGGTGACTTTATTCAGACTTGGTTACCGTTTTCCTCCCCACCCCGCCCACCTCGGGGAGCAAAATCCCTCCAGAAAGCTCTCAGTGGCGGGGCACAGAAGGGAGCCCACAGAAAGCCCTCAGTGGCACAGAGGGGAGCCTCCAGAAAGCCCTCAGTGGCGGGACACAGAGGGGAGCCTCCAGAAAGCCCTCAGTGGCGGGACACAGAGGGGAGCCCACAGAAAGCCCTCAATGGCGGGGCACAGAGGGGAGCCCAGGCTGCCCCATGCTTACACGCAGGCTTGGTGCCCGGCTGCGAGCGTGTGCCCTGCAGTTCCCTGCCGTCCTTGTCCACACACCAGCAGAAGTCACTCTTCCCGTGGCACTGCAGGGGTATGAAGTGGCCCAGGTCGTCACACTGCGGTACATACTGGTCATCCCGGGGCGTGCCCCCATAGTGTTCCAGCAGACTTTCCCTCCAGCGCTCACAGACAGTCCGAGGCCTCTGCGTGGGCTCTGGGATGGGGAAACAAACCCTTAGACGGCCAACCAGGAGCAGAGCAGTTCCAGGCCCCAACCCCTGGTCTCTCGGACACGCCCCTGGACACTGGGCCAGGGAGGCGCATGTGTTCCCACACATTCTCTGTGGAAATGCAGAAAAGAAATCACCCTGTTGGTCCTTGAAGCTCCTATCTCCCAAGGCCAGCAGGACCTACCACAGGGTCCCAGCAAAGAACAAGGAGGATACCTCACTCAGGCCCGTGCCCAGGGACCCTCTGATGACTGATGACAGAAGACTGTACACACTCTTTGAGGACTCAGTGATGCATGTGACACTTACAAACAATTGCTCTTTCCCCCTTGTTTCAAGCGCTTGGACCAGTCGCTAAAAGCTCCATCTGCAGGCTGGCCTATGTGTCCTAGGAGAAATGGGCTCAAGAGCACGCTGGGCTTCACCGGAAAATTACACGGAGCAAGAGTGACAGGGTAGTGTATTCAGCACAGCAGAGGCGGCACTGAGCAAGTGGAACCGAGTCTTGAACCATCCAGCTAAGAAAACCACAGCCGTCACATTGCTGGGACTATCTGAGAGCTCATCCTCTCCTCCAAGCTATCTGCTCCGGTGCTGTCTCGTTTCTCCTGTACCCCACCCCATCCTCCTCCTACCCAGAGCCGTGGTTCACAGCGTGGTGTAAGAAAGCCCTGCTGTCTTCTGCTGTATGCCAGTCCCCTGCCAGGCCACCGCCCCGGGGCATGGGGGCTCTGCCCTGCACAGTGTGCATGTATCTACCAAAGTTCCACTTGTTGGAATCACCTGCTTGTTGGGGAAGTCCTGTGTATATGTTAATAAATTACTGCTGGCCAATAGGAATCTAGATAGGTGGGGCTAGGAGTCCAGGAGGATTCTGGGAAGGAGAAACACAAGAGAGTTCGAGATGTAACGCCATGGGGTAGGATCCCGGAACTATTCTCCGGTAAGAGACATACTTAGATTAACAATTATGGGGTAATTACTTAAGTCAGAGCTAGCCAGTAAGAAATAAGCAAAGGCCAACAGCTTCATAATTCATATAGCCTCCTGTGTGTTTATTTGGGACTGATACGGCTCTAGAACCAGGCTGGAGGGAAAGCGGCTCTGGAACCAGGCTGGCGGAACGGCTCCTTCTCAAGGAAAAAAAAAAGCTTCTCGTAACACCTGCTCACTGAGACCGGGTTACCCTCGGGGCGTAACTAGAGGCATTTCTGGTGCTGTCTTAATCCCTGCAGCTCAAAGCCACCTATGGTTTGCAGAATCACACAGCCAATTATCTCCTTGCCACCACCATCTAGATGCACAATGGAACTTCAGCACAAAAGTAAACGATGGGCTCCTGATTTTTTCCAAACAGGCTCCTCCTCTAGTTCTTCCTCGTGCCTCTAGTTCCATTAAATAACACCTGCATTTCCAGTTGCTTCAACACAATCACCTGGACGCCTTTCTCTCACACCTCACATCAAGTCAAAAAAGTCATCAGTTTTACTTCCAAATACATTTCGACTAGTGGCGGACATAGTGGTCCCAGCACCCAGGACACAGAGGCAGGCGGATCTCTGTGAGTTGAAGGCCAGCCTGTTGTACATAGTGAATTCCAGGACAGCCAGAACTAGTGAGTCCTGTCTCAAAAACCAAACAACAACAAAAACCATCAGACTAATTTGACTTTTTCCCACTTCTCCTGCGTGTGTCTCCCTGGTCATAAACATCTCTCACTGGGACCATGGCAACAGCCTTCTGGCTGGCTTTCCTGTTTCCCCTTCCCCCCACCAAACCAGCGCAGACTCAGCCAGCAGCCACAGCGGTGCATTTCAACCCAGGGCATTGTCTCTCTGGGACCATGGCAACAGTCTTGTGGCTGGCTTTCCTGTTCCCATTTCCCATGCCTTCACACCCCCAAACCAGCGTACACTCAGCCAGCAGCCACAGCGGTGCATTTCAAACCCAGGACATCTTAGTCTACTCTTCTGCTCAAAACCCTCCAGACATCCAGGACCAGGAGACAGGGCTGCTACTGCCTCAAACACCCACCATCTACTTCCCAGCGGGTGTGCTGTGGGAAGCCACCAACGTGCCCACTGCACACTCAACACCCCGAAAGCCATTCTTGTTACTGGGGAACACCCAGCATGCCCGTGTGTCTGCATGGGTGCAAGCATCAACTGGTCTGGGATCACTCGGGTGGGCACCCCCTCCCCGCTACTGCCTTAGGGGATGTCATCCAACAGTGGGCTTACTTCTTGCCTGCTTCTGGTTGGTAAGGGTTCAAGCAGTCTCCTCCCACTGACCTGATTATGCAAATGAGAATAGCCAGGAATGGCAGGCAGGGCCACACAGTGCCAGAGAAGTCTGCACAAAAGAATGTGCCCTTATTTTAGTCATTAACATCTCAGCCTGAGTCACATATGTTTGTTTTAATCAACTTAATAGAATGCCAAGCCATCCCTCCAAGGCTCCAACTAACCACTGACTTCCAGACCTCTGACAGAGAGCCGAGGCTTTTGAGAGAAACCAGGACAGAGACAGGACTTCTCTAGGAACCGCAGATTTTAAGGCCTGCAGAGTCTTGTCCATAAATAACGGGGGAGGGGGGACACACAAAGAGGATTCATGTGGATCAACCTACTACCAGTTTACCTGTGTGAATCCTTCAGTTTATTGAGAATTTTGTACATTGTACAGACCATGCTCTAACTTTATGAACATAATCTTAGAAACACTGAAGTCCACGCCATGCTATGAACGTTATAGAGTCAGAACTGTTGGAAATCGCCCAGCTCTAGTCCCCTCACACATTAAAGGCTGAGATAAGCAATTCTGCAATTTTTTATTTTATAATTTTAAAAGTGGCTCTTTGGATACTAACTCCCAGATCAGGAGGTATCCCAGCCAAAGCAGAAGCATGTGTTGCCCATTGGTGAATAATTCAGCAAGGGACTGGAAAGCTGCCTGGTACACGCTGCCTAGCGCTCACATTGCCAGGAAGACTCTGCCCCACCACGCTCCAAAACCTTGGCAGGAAGACAGCTATGCTTGCCACGAACACCTCAGGTCAGATGGGCGGCTTCCTACACGTCCTAAGAAGGCAGCTGTGTGAAGCAGGGCTTCCCATCACCGTGTGGGATTGGCTAGAGGGGGACGGGGGTCATTGGGTTAAAGGGAAACTCAATGGATCCATCCTGAGTTTCCTACCTATTTTTCCTGCTAACATTAGCACAGCCTCCAAACGGCTTTTTACAGGGAAGTGACACGGTTACCTAGAAAGGGGCAGATGAAACATTACATTGGCAAAGTTCTTTAGCACTCGCATGCCTCTCACAGAGTCACAGCCTGATGTAGCCACTCAACTTTCAGTCACCATTCAACAAGGATCTGTGCACCCGAACTCCAATGCAAAGAGGATCCTGCGTGTCGCGTTTGTATCTACATGTCCTATGGCATTAACATGACACGGGTCTGCCTTTATCAGCCAAGTGTTCTTCAGAGGAAAAAGGTATGAAAATACAGCAGTCAGTCAGAGCTATGTTATAAATCACCCCACCAGCCAAGTGATGGTGGCGCACACCTTTATTCCCAGCACTCGGGAGGCATAGGCAGATGGATCTCTGAATTTTAGGCCAGCCTGGTCCACAGAGTGAGATCCAGGACAGTCAAGGCTATACAAGGAAACCCCTGTCTCAAAAAAACAAAAACCAAGCCAAACAAAACAACAACAACAAAATCACCCCACTGCCCCAGACATTCTGTTCGACTCCAGGCCTGAGCTGGCACAAGGTCTTTCTTCAGGACGAGGGGGCTCACCTGAGGGCGGTCCACAGTGAGGAGGGGTGGAGCCAGGCGGGGTCTGGGTGCCAGGGACCTCATGGCCACTGTGGTCCACGCACCAGCAGAAGCCAGTGTTGCCATGGCACAGCAGCGGCACGAAGTTTCCCTGGTCATCACACTGGGGGATGTGGATCCGTGACCCGGGGTGGGCGTGCTGCGCCTGCGCATAGCGCTGCTGGCGTTCACAGGGCTTCAGTCCCGAGATGGAATCTTCCGGAACCGTGGTTGAGAGAGACGAAGGAAAAATAACTAATAAATGTCTTCTTTCGCAACCCATTCACGATAACCAGTCCCCATTAAGTCTTCTGTACTGAGAACTTCTTCCCTACACCTGGGAGTCACCGTGACATGGAGAAATAGCAGGACACTAACATTTTAGAGCCCCAATTTATTTCAGTTTTGCTACCATCTGCCTAGTTGTCCCTAATTCCCTCCATTTGCCCTGGACATCACTAGAAGAATATAATTGTAAGCTAGGCCAGTCTGCTCCTCAGCCCTTAGGAGCCAACTGCCATCTGGGAAAAATGAATACCCAATGGCATCTGTCTGCCACTCTGGAGACTTCAGAGAGGATGAGCTAACTCCATCCATTCTTTGGGAGTCAGAGTTTACGCGTGAGAAGCCCAGGTCCAACTGCTGTACATTGGCCAAGCTCCCCCAAAGCAGTCACCAGGCTCATTGGTGCAGGAGGCTCCTACTTAATGAGCTCCTCAATCGTTTATTCGAACAACACGCAGCAAAGTAGATCACTAGGGTGGTGACAGAGCAGACACAGTGTGAAAGACAGACTCAAGACACTCGCACACCAGTGAGCGGTAAGCAGACAGTAGGAGGCTATGAGAAGAATCCAGAGCTCAGAACCCCCCCCCACCAGGCCCTCAGACCAGCCCCCATCAAGAGTGGGCTTGGGGGAAATAAGAGGGCAGGAGCGGGAGGTGCTTACACGCAGGCAGTCTTCCAACACTTACCAGGTGCGCAGTGAAGCCCGTCCCCGTGGTACCCAGGCTGGCACTGGCAGGAGAAGGACCCAGGGGTATTGTGGCAGGTAGCTGCCTCGTGACATCTGTTTTCCGCACATTCATCAACATCTGCAGAGGTCAGGGACAGTCGCTCAGGGGAAAGGAAGGGAAGGAAGGAAGACCATGACTTCACCACAAACAGCTGTGTAGTCGACTACATGGTCTCCGTGCACACGACTCAACAAGGGCATCCCTGGGTCTGAACTGAGAGATGCTAGTGTCGGAGAGTAAGTGTCACAGGAAAAGGAAACCGGAAAACACATACTAGCTAGTTTTATGTCAACTTGGTGCAAGAAGAAGTTTCAATTGAAAAAAAAAATGCTTCCGTAAGATCATGCTATGGGACATTTTCTTAATTAGTGATCAAGGGCTCTGCCGTTGTGGTGGGGTCACTCCTGGGCTGGCGGTTCTGGCTTCTTTAAGAAAGCAGGCTGAGTAAGCCATGAGGAGGAGCAGCTCCCTCCATGGCCTCTGCATCAGCTCCTGCTTCCAGGTTCCTGCCCTGTGTGAGTTCCTGCCCCCACGGCTTTTAACGATAAGCTGTACGTGGAACGATAAGCTGTATGTGGAACTGCGAGTGAAATGAACGCTTCACTCCCCAAATGGCTTTTGGTCATGGTGTTTCATCACGGCAATAGTCACCTTAGCCAAGAAAAAAACAAACCCAGGAACATGTGCGTTAACTAATGAGATGAATGCCGAGAGTAGAAATCTAACTTGTGGGTACGCAGAGAAAATATGCCCTGCTGTGTGTTTCTGAGCACCTTCAGAAGTTATTTCCTTCCAAGCACTAACTATAAATCATTAATTTCCTGCCAGTGATGTCACAAAAGATAAATATAGGTAACAATAGTTTGTCCTTTGTTTGACACCAGACCCCTTTGTGTTCTTGTGGAGATACAGGAGTCAGATGAGGCCCCAAACACATCTCCAGTGCGTTCTTGTGGAGATACAGCAGTCAGATGAGGCCCCAAACACATCTCCAGTGCGTTCTTGTAGAGATACAGCAGTCAGATGAAGCCCAAACACATATCCAGCGTGTTCTTGTAGAGATACAGGAGTCAGATGAGGCCCCAAACACACCTTCAGTGTGGAAGGCCCTTCAGCCTTGCCTGACCAGACTGCTGTCTAAGTCCTCTAGTTAGAGACTGCCTTACCTTTTCACTTGGACCAAGAGAAGAATGTTATTGTGACTCTGAAGTGACACACAAACAGCCCGGGCCCCTGACTCTGCATGTGCTTCCCCGAGGAGCCTACACTCAAAACTCCAAAATCCCACAGCTCGAGCAAAAGCCAATTAATATGCCTTTTTACTTTACTTCCTGAAGTTGGCCCACGCCGTCAACCTCTCCCCCACCCCCACATTCCAAAGACCCCCCAAGAAACTCTTGCGAGAGGAACTGCTGAGGCTGATGCCGGGGAATGAGGTGAGCTCTAAGAGGACGGGAAATCTTCCAGAGGAAAAGGCGGAAAGGAAAGGTTCAGGTCAGAGCTGGGCTTGACCAAAAACAAAAGAAAGCCTGAGTCACATCCACAGAAACAACTAGAACTGTTTTTGATGTGTGAGTCGAAAACACATGTGAGCGGCAATGGCGGGGCCCCTAGAACGGAAGGCGCTGCGTCCATTCGGCGCACCCATGGCAGGCACATTCCAGCTTGGAAAGCGCCAGTTTGTAACTAGGGTCAGATTTGAATGGGCAGGAGAGACTCCTCTGAGCCTCCAGGCAGCCCTCGCTCTCCAGGGGCTCCTCTCACAGCTCAGCGGCTTTCTTGGTTGGCAGCCCACGGCCCCTCACACACAGACGTTCTGTTCCCTGCACAGGAATCCCTTATCCTCACCTAGTGGGCAGTGTGGCTATCCTTTGCCCTTCGAGAACACAGTGCCTTTGAGTCCAAAACCCCTGAATGCTCAACCAGATCAAGCCTAACTCCACCCAGATTGCTCTCCCTGGACAAGCAGCTAGCTGGCTTTTCTGGTTACCTTTGCCTCCCAAGATTAAGAAGGGCGTTACTTAAACAGCACCCTAGATAGCAGTGACTAAAGAACGGTCATCTTTATCCTGGCAGCCAGCTCCCGGCCACAGCTGAGTGAGGAGCTGGCTGGGCCTAGAGGGACTATAACACGGACTGCAGAGCCAAAGCAAACTCAGGAAATGCAAGCTGTGACAGAACATCCCCTAGAAGTACTTCCAGTGGGGACAGGAACCCCAAGCAATGGCAGGAAGCAGGAATTCCTGATGCACACAGTCTATTGCTGGGTCCCAGGGAGCCCTTCTTATGACTGTTTTTTAACCAAGGAGGGGATTCCCCAAGGTTGCCAAACCTTGGGCATTATTAAAACCCTGATCAAACCTGAAACAGCCATTTTCCCCTTGCTGTTGTTGCCCTCTTCCTGGATGGCATGGTTACGGCAAACAGCAGCTGTCAGAAAAAGCCCTTGAGAAAGTTCCATACATCACACGTGAGGAATCCCTGGCCCCCAAACTGAGAACTGTAGGCTCCCAGAATTGCAATCCAACTCCTTCTTGGAGCGCCTCGATGATGGACAGCTAGAGGCCAGTCAGCAGCTCCAGGGCCTGAGTTCACGGCTGGCTTCAGTCTCTCCTTAGGAGCACAAACACCATGGGGTTTGCAGAAGTCAGAACTCATTTCTGGGACAGCAAGTGTCCAGACAGAAGATGGGGAAGGACTTTGGCCTCTTCTCAAGGCAGGAGCTCTCCTTTTAACCCTCACTGGTAGGAGGCCGCCAGTAACAACTGACCAGTGGGAGCTATGTTCATGGGCTACTGGAGGACTGCGCTCAGCACAGAGGGCTGAGACAGCACAGCCCTTGACACAAAAGCAGCAGAAAAGAAGGCAACTTGACTCCAGCACAGCTCACCTCTACCATTCATCCATCGAACCCAAGAACCCGTTAGGACAACATCTGGAACGCTCCATTTGGAGCTCACGCTTCGGGCTTCGAAATCTCTTCCTGTCTTCACTCTGAACGGCAACAGCTGGGAGCAAATTCAACCACTGAATGATTGACTTGATTTCTGACCCAGTGTTTTAATTCTCTGGTGCTGAGTAACCTCTGTACTACCCAGATTGCTATGCTTTGGTTCATATGCCTTTGCTGTCTCTCTGGTCCTTAACTGTCCAATGACACATAACTAAATGTCTGCTGTCTGTGTGTCACATGGTGATCTTCCTGGGAACCTGTAAATGTAACGATAAACACTAATGCTTCTATGTCCACCCGTCTTATCCACGCTTTACCTCTGAGCACACACATCCTGACTAGAACATCTGCACCACTCATCTGCCTGCTGAGCAAAGACAGAACAGACCCTGTCTACCCTGGCTTCCTCAACTCACAGCTGAAACTCCTCAAGACAATCTGTTCTTCCTGCAAAGTCACCCAGATTCCTAATGGCAGCATGCCTGAGAACTATGCAGCTCACACTAGTACAGGACTGAAACCACCCCACATGGAGGGACAGTGGAGAAGACTTTACTCTTTTTGAACCAAAGCCTCCTGCTAGTGACTCAAACCAGGCTGAGAACCCAAATCCAATTGCATCCTTTCAAGAGAGGCTGGTTCTCAACAAACCATGGTTGGGGACCCACATGTCCCCTTTTCCTTTGATGGAATAAAAAATGTGTGCACCTCAAGATCTCACAGTGCCCACAACACAGAGCCTCTTGGCAAGGATCCTTCACTCGGAGACATAATGAACACTTCTGTATATGAACCCATACACAATCTAACATGTAGTTTTATTCTGCAAGCCACTTTCATGATTAGCACAAACTAACTTGTGTGAAATCTCTAGAAAATGATTCTCCCATCTGAAGCCTGGAAGGCTACCACACACTACAGGCTGTGATTATGTTAGGGAGCCTCCAAGATGGCCCTCAGAGACCCCTGTCTCATTATACGCAGACTCTCCAAGAGATCTTACAATAGACCATAACAAATGCAGTAAAATAACATCTCTAGCATCTTTGAGATGATGACTTCCTTCTTGCTGGCAGGCTTTAATAAAGCAAGCTGTTTTGTGACTCAGTCTTGTCTCATGAGTCTCCCAGAACTAAGGCTCTGTGTCCAACAGTCCTGGCACCTGTCCATAGAAAGTGGTGAAGACTTCAAGCGACCCTGTCTCCAGCCTCACTAGGGATCCTAAGGCACTGAACCTACTGAATCATGCAGACTGCTGACCCATGGGGAACAGACGGGCTTTACGAGGTTGCTTAAAGATCAGATCCACACTCAACAGTATGAGTGTCTAGGAACCCTGAAGAATGTATCAATATAAATGTTATTCAGGGAAGCTACATGAACTTCTAAATGATCTGTTATTGTGAAAGGAAACAGCGAGAGAATAAAGGGTGGAAAGAACCTGCTTTAGAAATAAAAATCTAAAAGGCCACAACACAACTGGGCCTTCTAAGGTAATGTGCTAGGACAACCTTGGAGCTCCCTGGGGCTTCATGTCCTAAACAGCATGCTCCCCCACCCCTAGACCCCATTTTAGTTTGCGTTCCCATTGCTGAGATAAAACACTATAACCAAAAAGCAATTTAGGAAAGAGTTTATTTCACAGCTTACACTTCCGGACCGCAATCTATCACTGAGGGCAACCACAGAATCTCAAACAGGGACTGAAGCAGAGACCCTAAGTGCTGCTGACTGGCTTGCTCTCTGGCTCAAGATTAGCTAGCTAGCTTATACAGCCCAGGAGCACAGCCCGGTAGACTGGACCCTCCTACATCAGTTAGGAATCAAGAAAATGCCCCCCCCCCACGCAAATCTGATCTAGGCAGTCCCCCAGTTAGCCTCTCTCTTCTAAGGTAACCTAAGAGGTCACGACAAGATAGCAATAAGAACTGCCACATATGGTGACACCCCTAGAGTCCTGAGGTAGACAGGTGGATCTCTTTGCATTCAAGGCCAACCAGGGCTACACAGGGAGACCAGACCCTGTCTCACCAGGTGTTTGGTGAGGGCAGGAGAATTTAGAAAACAAAACAAAACAAACAAACAAAAAGCCACAAAACATAGCTATGAGTCCCTCCAGTCTACACTAGCTCCAAGGGACACAAGGTGTCAACCTGGCACCAACACTCCAGGACAACCACGAGTGTTCACTCCAGTGCCAGGGAGTTACCCGTGGGCTCTTTCTGACTCTAAAGATGCTGGCTGTCTTTTGGCAATCGCAAGACTGTGAGTCACAGGAGGAGAGAGGCTGTGTCTCTATGAGGATGTATACCTAAAGGGACCAGGCAGAGTCCCCAAGACTTACCCATGGGTACTCACCAGAACACTGATACCCGGGACCAACAAACCCTGGCAGGCAAGCACAGCTAAATGAGCTGCCCCCGTGGTGAATACAGCGGGCCTGCCCCTCGGGAGCACACGTGTGACTGCCATCGAGGCAAGGGTTCGAAGGCGGGGCGATCACTGAAAAGAAAGTCAAAGTGTCCAAGAGCTGAAACCTGCGTGTGGGTGAGCCTTTCCCTTCACAGCCCCACCCTCAGACTAGTGTCAGTAGACCTTAAGGAATGCAGGGTCTCAGACCCTGTCCCAGCCACAATCTCAATTTTAGCACGATTCCTAGCTCAAGAGTCATACCCATATTAGAGTTGAGGCGTGTGTGTGTGTGTGTGTGTGTGTGTGTGTGCGCGTGCGCTTAAAATATTAGGCATGACAATAAGTCATCAAAACAGATCCTGATTGTAGCTTGTAATTTCTGAGTACTGTTTGTGTGTTTGTGCGCGCGCATGTGCGTGCGCACACACACACTCGAGTTTCTAGTATCATTGCTACTTTGTCATGTTACTAGAGATTAGAATGTGTAATCAGCCAGCTCCATCAGTAGGATAAATCTGAAATTCTAGGTCTTTTTGGAGCCATTCTTGAGTCTGAAGTTAGTGTGTTTTAGAACCCTGTTGTGGATGGGGTCTTTGGTTCCTTGAATGAGACAGGCACCTCTCAACATGAATTCTTTATAGAGCTGGGATATTACAAGTTACTGTCTGCTTAAGTGACAAGGCCAGGAATCCCAGTTGAGAACATCCCCCAGCAACTCAATATAACATCTAGGTGGGACAGGACTAAACTGTAACAGAGGGTAACATCAGTATACTTAAAGCCACACAGCTGGACGATGGTGGCGCACGCCTTGAGTCCCAGTGCTCAGGAGGCAGAGATAGATGGATCTCTGTAAGTTCGAGACCAGCCTGGTCTACAAAGCTAGTTCAAGGATAGGATGCAAAGCTACAGAGAACCCTTTCTCAAAAAACAAAAACAAAAAACAAGAATGAAAGAAAGCCACACATCAGAGCTTTCTGTACAGCAGGTATAGAGACATAAGTGAATTCCAAGGTAGGATTCAGCATCCTTCTAGCTGAAGGGAAAAAAGCTTTTGATACTCACAGATACAAGTGTGCTGGTCGTCTGCAAATTCATAGCCACTGCGGCACCCACACCTGTAACTTCCTGGCATGTTGACACACACAGAGTTGGGGCCACAGTGATGGAAGCCAGTAGCACATTCATTGACATCTAAGCAAAGTTGAGAACAGAAAAAGCACTGATGAAACAGAGGGTTCCAGAAACAGAAGATCTAACAACTCAATTTTCCCACCACTAAGATGCTTTGCTGGGACTAATGGTTGGCTAATGGAAACCGTGGACATAGGACAGTCTTGGACACTGGGCAAAATTCCAAGTTGCAGTTCATCCGAAATAAGTAAAAATGTTTTCAGATCTTTCCAGTGAAGCCATAGGAAGATACTTTTGAATACCTTAGGAATCCTTTAAGAAAAAGTAAACAATTCAATTTTCAAAAGACGTTTCTAACCCCAAATACCCATCTGCAATCTTGTCTTCTCAAACCTAGCCAGACGCTGCCTCAGTTTCCATAGAACTGCGTCCAGCTCTACAGAGGCTAAAATCACTGCTTGACGACAACCACAAAGACCACAGTACTTGTCCTCCACAGACTGTAGTGCAGAGACAGCACGGTGAAAAGGAGGGCAGAAACAGACAGCATGCCTCTTACCCTCGCAGCTCCGTCCGTCTCCCTGGAACCCGGGGGTGCACTCACAGGTGTAGTCTACACCTGTGCCCGGGCGGCACCTGGCCGTTGTGTCACAGGTGTGGCTCCCATCATAGCAAGGGTTCACTGGTGCAGGGGCTGGGTCCACTGTGCATGCATGGGAAACAGAAGAGGGCACAGGGTGACTGCCACAGGAGACTATGCGGAAGAGCAAGGAGTCCTCGCTACGTATGCATTCAAAGCTAAGGTGGGTTACATCTAAGGTGGGCTACACCCGTCCCAAGGTTAATCAACAGCTTCCTGTGCCTACTGTGTAGAACAGGGTTCTGGCTTTCAGTGGTAGGTTTGCCTCCAGATAAGAAACCATCTAGCACCTTCTGGGATGTTCAAGATAACTCTGAGCCACACCGCTGTCCCCATAAGGTGAGCCACACATGGGATAAATTACCTGAATCCAAAGTTAGCAAATGTATTGGCAAAGACTCAACCTCCCACTTCAAACTCAGCATTTCTGTGGGTTAAGTCTGACTTAAGACCTCACAGGGTCTCAGGCCCTGTCCCGGCCAGAATCTCAACTTTAGCACGATTCCTAGGTCAAGGGTTCATGTGTGTTATAGTTGAGAAGTGCTGGTGTGTTGGTTGCTTAAAATATTAGGCATGACAGTAAGTCATCCAAACAGACCTTGGAAAAGCTTTTAATGCCTGCATAAACAACACACACACAGAGACACACACACACACACAGTTCCTACTACCATTGCTACTTCATTATCTTACTGGAGATTGCAGTGTTTCTCTTATCTTCAGCTAGCTCTACCAGGGGGATAAATCTGGAATGCTAAGTCTTAAAAATGTTCTATTACTACATGTAATTGTGTGTGTGCGCAGGTGAGCACATGTGCATACCGCAGTGCACCTGTCAGAGGACAGCTTCGTGGAGTACGTTCACTCCTTCCACACTTACGTGGGTTGCAGGGACTGACCTCTGGTCACTGAGCTTGTACAGTGTGCTGGTTAGATTTCTGTCACTCCGAGGTCATCTGGGAAAAGGGAGCCTCAACTGAGAAAACGCCTCCATCAGACTGGCCTGTAGGGAAGTCTGTGGAGCATTTCCTTGATTAGTGATTGATGTGAGGAGGCCCAGCTGACAGCGGTGGCATCAGCCCTGGGCCCTGGGCAGGTGGTCCTGGTTTGTAAAAGAAAGCAAACTAGCAGGCCGAGGAAGAAGCCAGGAAGCAGTACTCAGGCCTCCGCGGCCTCTGCTTGGGTTCCTCCCTCTGGCTCCTGCCTTGAGTTCCTCCCGACTTCCCTGCATGATGGACTGTCATCTACAAAGTGAAGTAAGCCTGTTCCTCCCCAGACTGCTTTCAGTCACCGTGTTTATCACAGCAACAGGAAGTAAGCAGGCGCCTTGACCCACTGAGCCATCTTTCTGGCCCTCAAAACTTGCTTTGTAAAGATACAACCAAATAATAGAAATGGCTTCCCAGTGCCTACATGTTTTTTTTCAAGACAGGGTTTCTTTGTCGCTTTGGAGGCTGTCCTGGAACTCATGCTGCAGACCAGTCTGTCCTTGAATTCACAGAGATCCCCCTGCTTCTGCCTTCCGAGTGCTAGGATCAAAGATGTGTGCCAAGACCGCCTAGCAGTGCCTACACTTCTAATGTTTTTGTTGTGAGCTACATGTCTTAATCTCATGGATGTACCCCTAAATGACTTGCAGAATGTGTCCTACAGGCCGCAATTGACACTCCTTGAGCAGCTGCTCCTAGGAAGAACTCTGAACCCTTTATATGCAACCCATTACATCCACAGGATTACACATGCAGACTGCAGCCTATGAAAGCCAAACAACTTGCCCACAGCTACAGTCAGGAAAAGTAGAGTCAAAATACGACAAAAATCCAAACAGCCCTAGGCAAGGACCCAGCCAGAGGAACCTCATAAGTTATTTAAGTCAAAAGCACAGACACCAGGGATGAGGTTCAAATGCCCAGTGTCTCCCTTCTGATTCTTCACTGCAAAATACAAAAAAATAAAAAAAAAAAAGGTTTGTCTCTGCTGATCTGCTTTTTAAAATGCAACATACTATATTTTCAAGGTTGGTGTTCCCAGTGCTAGACTTTGTCGCCCCAAGGGACAGTTACCTCCTTCCTCCTCAATGAGACAGCTCTGTCCTCACTGGAGGTGTTTGCTTTGCCTCCGTCTGTGGAACTGTAATGTTAGACACAGACGACTTCAGGAGCCCCAGCTGCAGCTGTCTGACTGCCCCAGCCACTTCGGCTATCACAGAACTCCATGCAGAGCACAGTAACTGGGCCTCTGCCTCTTTGGTCCGTGTCAGAAGCCTTCTTGGTGGGCAGGGTGGTACACCCCGTTACACCCCAAGTGTAGCCTGCTCAACAGTTTTCTCACTGTTAGAAGCGTCTGTAGACACACCTTGGCAGGACCTCTGCCTGCACTGAGCACCAGGATTCCCCGTCACTGCTATCTCACTCACGACTCCCAGCCGCCTTCTGTAGCTGGGACTTATTGCCAGTTACGCCCGAGTACTTGTTTCTGCTGCTGTTTCAGGGCTGAGCTTTCTCCCAGGCCTTCCAGACCGTCTCCCCAGCACGTCCACCCTCCTGCTGCCCAAGTTAGACTCCTCTGGCTTTCTCAAACAGTCTGCTGTAAACTGAGGTGCCTTGAGGTCTCCACTCTCTGGCAAACTCTTCCCCAACCACTCTGTAAGAAACAGCACGACCCATTTATTTCTGAGGCAGAACATTCATTATCAGTACACCAACCGGGGCCTGAGTATGAGGTTTGTCCTCAGTTCACCTCAGTGTTGGCAGATGTAAGAGAATCTCTGCAAAACGAAACAGCGCGACAGCCATCCTGGGAATGCCTCCTTCTGCACCTCTTGGCGGAGGGAGAAAACCCAAGCTCGGGCAAGTGGCACTGAGTTACCTCGGGCATGCATGTACACAGAGCCCCTGAAGCCAGTCTCTAGCAAGACTGTAACTAAGCACACGGTCACATTCCCACTGAAGTTCCCATGTAAGACAGGAACCCCACTCTCCCTACAGTTATTTCCTCATTTTAGAATATCTTCCAAAGGGAATATTCATCTTCAAAATGCTTTAATTTATAAATCCTTAACCGTCTTACGCAGCCCTTTCCAACATCAAACTTTCAGCACTGTGCATTCCAGGAAAGATTAGTAAGTGTGCATGTACATCAGAGCTTATCTCCCTGCTAGACATTAAAACAAGAATCTTAGAAGCAGACCAGAGGTGACTACTCTACTAATCTTACATCAACAAAAATCCGACCATAATTACATGATGCTGATTTAACAAGCAATGCAGTTATAGAGCTAGTAATGTAATTCAGAATCCAGTGCAAAGGGAAAAATGCAGAGCCCATCATTGAGAAAATCAACAACAATTTAGACAAAAACTTAATTATCAGCTATTCCAGTGAGCCCTTTTGCACACAACCATTAAGTGTAGCTCTTCCAGTAACATCTTGAGAAACACATTCTTAAAACCTCTTCGCTATTCATAAATTCTAGGCCTGCTAGCTCTCTCCTCTTATAGTAGAGTCAAGGATAGCCATGTTCTTCTTAAACCATATCCTATTTCACCCACTTAAAACTAGTGACTCTCTGACACAGGAGCTGGAACCCCATAACTCAGGAAGGAAAGAACGGCTTCCTTAAAGGGGCCATCACTGAATGGCTGAATTCACTGATGCAAATTCAATGGCCCTCTGCCCACACATCTCCCTAAGGACCCCTGGCAAGGAAGGGTGGCAGCATGCCTGGGTCCTGTCCTGTGACACCACCACAAATGTACAAGGACCAGACAGCTGTGGCTGGAGGACAGCAAGGGCTGCGGTTTATCTTTCTCACTGGGAGATGGCACTAACTGTATCTGCACCTTGCAGAGCTACACGGAGCTCATAAACTGCAAGGTTATGTGGCTCAGAATGCCTTTCAGCTCGACGGCAGCCCCTCTGGAACAGTGTAAGACATCACATGCTCCCGTACAGTGCTCCTGGGGTCTTGTGTGTGTGTTTCTGTTGTTCTGATTCAGGACTAATGAATGGTACCTCTGTGGGTGAAGCTTGGTTGAAACCTACACTCACACGCAGTCTGGGTCTATACTATGAGGCTGTCGTGAAGCTGACAGCCCACGTGGTGCAGTTGTACTATGTGGGGCAAGTTGTTCTGTGCCGGACAAACATGGGCTCTGCGCCCAGAGCCAGCGTTTGAGTCCCAGCCTGCTACTTACCAGCCATACTTCTGACGGGTTAACCTCAACATCTCAAGTTTTACATCTAAAAAGGGATAACAACGACACAGCCCTGTTGTTGATATAGGACACACTAGAAGAGGAGGGGAGTAACAGAACACATACGCGTGAAAGAATGGGCTCCAATCTTGAGCGAGGGTTAAGTGAGGGATGGCAAAATAGGGAGACAGGAAAGGGAAATAGGAGAAAAAGATCAACAAAACCAAAAATCTGTTGGAAGATGCCCGCCATAACGAAACCCACTACTTTGTATATATTCACTTTTAAAAACAAATAAAAATAAACATATTTAAAAATAACAGGACTTAGCCAGGCAGTGGTGGCGCATGCCTTTAATCTGAGCACTTGGGAGGCAGATCTCTGTGAGTTCGAGGCTGGGCTGGACTGACAGCCTCCAAAACAATACAGAGAAACCCTGTCTCGTAAAACCAAAAAATAAAATAAAATAACAGGATTTGGAATGGAAAGATGGCTCTGCGGTTTAAAGCCCTTCCCCAAAAGCAATTGCTTTTACAAGTGTACCTTCCATCTCCAAACACAGGCATCCCTCCCTGTCTTCTTTATCTGACTTGGCCAGATCAAGTAGATTAGTGAATCCATTATTCAGAATACAAAGCTAGACAACAGGGTTTTACTATCGCATCTGACCTGGGGAGAGTGCAGGGGACTTAGGTTTGGAAACAAGTGCCCCAGCTTGCAGGCTTCTACGAAAAGACAGTCCAATTATGCAGAAAAAGACACCGGGCAGTATCTTCTGCAGAAGAAAGACACCATTTAAAGAAGCGTCGGCTCCAGCATCTGCCATGTGCGGGTGCGCACACGCACGCACGCACGCCCACCCCAGGGCTCACTCTGCTTGCAAGCCTACAGGTTTTGAATAGCACAAGCGTGAGAACATGTAACCCACCATCAGAGCCTGATGCGCCAGGGCTTCACCAACCTAAAACTGTCCATCCGCCCTCCTCTCCGCCCAAATGCCCGGCAGTCACTGCTCTTTTTACTGTGTCTCCACTTCTACCTTCCCCAGGGTATCAGAGTTGGAATCACCCAATCTGCTGCCTTTGACACCGGCTCCCACATCTAAGGTTCTGCTGCTCTCTATGGCTTTGACGGGCACAGAACATTCCTATCGCGCAGGTAAAGCTAAGGCTCAGTGAAATGTGAGCCACTAGTTTCCTTCAGCTGAGATGCAATACCTGTTACACACAATCCACCCACTTGAAGGGCAAAACCAAATGTATTTCACAACAGTCAGAGTTGCACAACTACCATGACGAGTGATTACTAGAACATTCATCACTCCTAGAAGAAACACTGCACTCTTAAGTGACTATCCTTGTCTATCCCCTCTTGTCCATGAGCAACCATTAGTCTACTTAGTATCTCTGTGGATTGCCTGTTTGGACACTGTATGTGTATGGAACCATGCATTACGCTGTCCTTGGTCACTGGCTTCTTTCACTTAGCATGTCCAATGCCACTCATGCTGCAGAATAGATGATTACTTTATTCTTTTTAGTGGCTGTGACTATTGTGTATATGTTCATTAGTTGATGGTCATGTAGGCTGCTTCTACCTGCTGGCTATTTTGAATAATGCTGCTGTGTTAGTATTATTATCACTGTCACAAGGTACAGAAAGAATGGATTTACTCTAGCTCAGGGTTCAGTCTACAGTCTGACTCTTGCTTTGACTGTGTGGTACAGCAGACCATGATAGCAGCAGTATGTGGCAGAAGCCGCTCATGAGTGGGGAAGGCAGGACAAGATACAACCCATGAGGTTATGACCCCATGACTACTTCCTCCAGCTGGTGCCCTTCTCCTGAAGTTTCTGGAACCTCCTGAAACAGCACGGCCATGTGGAGACAAAGCCTTTAGGACATGTAACCCTTACATGTAACCCTTACATCTAGGCCTCTGCCCACTTTGAGGTGGGTTTTGTTTATGTGTGAGGTAAAACAGGGTCCCACTTCATTCTTCTGCATTTGAACAGTTGTCCCAACACTGCCTGTTTAAGACTTATTTTCCTGTTGAACTGTTTTGATAACTCTCCTCAAAAAGCAATCTGAGAGGCTAGCTCAGTGGGTAAAGCCTGTACTGAGAAAGTCTGGCAACCTGAATTCAATTCCCAGAACTCATGGAAGACCAGGAGAGAATGGGTTCCACAAGTTGTTCTCTGGGCTACACATGCACACATGCCACAACACACATGTACCCACCCCATCATACACAGCAATAACTAAGACTTGTGTTGAACTGACTGTAAACATGGGCATGTAACTTTTAGATTCTCACTTGAATTCCACTGATCTGAATATCTATTCACATAACAGGATTATATGGTCTTGATTAAGTTTTGAAACCGAAAGTATGTGCTATTTCTCTGAGATGATCTTAGCTACTATGGCTTCCTTGAATGTCTATGTTTTAGAATTAATTTGCCTGTTTCTGCAAATGAGTCGGCTGGATTCTGATAGAGATTAGGTTGGATCAATAGAACAATTTAGGAAGTAGTAATCTTCTTTTTTTTCTTTTTCTTTTTTTAAATTTATTTTTAAATTTAAATTAGAAACAAGGTTGCTTAGGAAGTAGTAATCTTCTAACGAACCTGGAACATAGTGCCACTTAATGGATGTGTGTGTGTGTGTGTGCGCGCGTGCACGTGTATGTACATACATATAAATGTATATAAACATAACTTGTTTCAGTGCAGAAGTACTACACTGTGTGTGTGTAGAACAGTACACATGTGATTATTTGTATGTGTGCACATGCATGTGGAGTCCAGAGGTCAACACCAGGTGTCTTTCTTGATTGTTAATATCTACCTTAATTTGTTTTTAATTTACTGTGTGGGGATATGCAGACACACACATGTCGTGGCAGGCATGTGCCGTGGCAGGCATGTGCACGCCACATGCACACGTAGAACTCAGAGGACAACTTTTGAGACTCTGTTCTCTCCTGCTACCTGAGGCATCAAGTCTGCAGCACGGGGCCTCTGCCCACAGCAGAACCCAACCCGAGTGCCACACTCTAATTTCTGACCTTTGGCAGGGACTGAGCTCTTGGAGTCCTACATCTGCCTGTCTCCATGGGGCCCCGCTTCATTGGCTTCTCTATCTGGTACTCACCAAACTTAACTCACAGCAGAACTGTTTGGCAGCTTCTAAGAAACAATGTGACTTTTCTACCCAACAAAAATAGCATACATACCTTCAACGGGGCCAATCTGATTGGTCACAGCAAACCTCAGCACACCCTCATCCTCACTGTACAAAGCAAAAGCTCGGTCCACAGTCAACTGCTGGGTGGTGGGGATGGCCAGGTGTCTGTGGGCGTGCCTGCACGCCTTATAAGTGATGTTCTGGTCTACGCGGTAGGACCATGTTTGGTTGATAGAACCAGAAGTGAGAGAGAAACTTCTGGAACTGGAGGAGGTCACAGCTGTAATGAATAGTTTACAGGTAAACAAGTAAACTTTTAAAATACCCAAACCAAAAATGTTGATGTTAGAGATATCTTTTCTACAGTTTTTCACTCCATTCCTAGAGTAGGTTCCCTTAGAAACTCCCCAAGATTCTACAGGAAGCCTGTAAGGAAAGGTCTAGAACCCCCTAGACCCTGAGTGTATACAAAGCCACATTGCTGAGGAGGAGAGAACGAGCATTACAAACTGCTGCTGCTGTCAACACACACTAAGAACGAGCATTATGAGGTGCCAGTGTGCCAAGAGATGCTGGTGTGCTGAGAGCAGTCTGCACACCACCTGGTTTGCTCCTCGTAGCCCTGCAAGACAGGAACTGCCTGTGTGTGCAGAGGCCACAGAGTCTGGGTGAGTAGCCCAAGATGAAAGACTGGGATGTGATGGAGCTGTAACTGGAATGTATCGTGTCTCAAGATCTGAGACACACTCCAGAAAGGGAACACCCCCGATGCTCTGCACAGTGGTAAGCTGGCAACACACCAGCAGAGGAAAGGGCTGTTCTCTCCGGCTGGACGCTGTGCTAGGATTGCTGTGGTATATTCTGGCCACAGTTAAGGTCTGTGTTCCAGTCTTTTCCTTGTATCCAGATCTCATACTGGAAGCCGGGAGCATAGAACAGGTGTCCACAAACCAGACCACCAACTGTAAAATGACACCCGTGACCACTGGAGCATCTATCTCCAAAGTGGCTAGTACTGTGTATAAATGTGCCCAGCTTTTTGACATTGTGACATGACGCTATCATCTACAAAAGTGTTGGGCTGTATGTATCTATAGTACCCTGGGATGGATGCAGGCACTAAGCTGCATGCTGGATACACTCAGCTTATTATACCTTAGGAAACTTATCAACTATATTAGGCAGTCAGAAAAGATGTTTTTATTCTTATGCTAAAAGATGAGAAAAATAGGCTTCCAGGGGATTTTCCCCCATAGACTTTAAATGACAAATCCAGTATATAAATGAATTTATACATCGTCTCCAAATCCCAGGTTTGTTTCACAACACCGAAAGCACCTTTGTGTGACTTTTAAAGTAAACTGAAGTCATCAGCTGAAACAGTTACAGCACAGTCACAAATTCTAATCGTCAATACAGTCCTTGCCCAAGTGGGTAGTATCTTATCAGTTACTACTACCAGAAAATGATGTGCAGATAGACATTATTGTGTATAGGAGTCATTACTCTGCTCAACTATAGTGTATACTTCCTAAAAAACAAGAAAAACTTGTATCTACTTCATTTTGTGTTCCAGGACATTCCGTGACTTAAGCCTGGTCACTATGTCGTGAGGCAGACACACCATGTCTATTTTACAGCTTTGGAAACACACATACCTGAGTCCCCGTGATGATACAGCTCTTTGTAGGGAGCGATGTGGGCCGAGAAATTCGCTGGGATGAAGGGCACCTGGCCCTCAATGTTGGTCTTAATGCTCAGGTAGTTCTCTGGGTCAAGCCCCTCAGCAGTTTGAGTGATATGAACCCTCTCTTCTCCAGGGTAAAAGGTAACCTCCACGTCATGGACAAAAGTGGCACCTGCAGGGGGCAAACACTCAGCAAGTAGGTGACAAGAAGTCTTGATTAAATCATTTTGAGGCTGGGGCTTGGGTGGTAGACTGCTTGACTGTCGTAGAAGAGGTGAGGCTTCGAGTAGCTAGTCACTAGTGTGTATATATCTGCCTCCTGGTCTCTGTTAGAGACAGTTAGTCACTAGTGTGTATATATCTTCCTCCTGGTCTCTGTTAGAGACAGTTAGTCACTAGTGTGTATATATCTTCCTCCTGGTCTCTGTTAGAGACAGTTAGTCACTAGTGTGTGTATATCTTCCTCCTGGTCTCTGTTAGAGACGGTTAGTCAGTAGTGTGTATATATCTTCCTCCTGGTCTCTGTTAGAGACGGTTAGTCACTAGTGTGTATATCTGCCTCCTGGTCTCTGTTAGAGACAGTCACTAGTGTGTGTATATCTTCCTCCTGGTCTCTGTTAGAGACAGTTAGTCACTAGTGTGTATATATCTTCCTCCTGGTCTCTGTTAGAGACGGTTAGTCAGTAGTGTGTGTATATCTTCCTCCTGGTCTCTGTTAGAGACGGTTAGTCACTAGTGTGTGTATATCTTCCTCCTGGTCTCTGTTAGAGACGGTTAGTCACTAGTGTGTGTATATCTTCCTCCTGGTCTCTGTTAGAGACGGTTAGTCAGTAGTGTGTGTATATCTTCCTCCTGGTCTCTGTTAGAGACGGTTAGTCACTAGTGTGTATATATCTTCCTCCTGGTCTCTGTTAGAGACGGTTAGTCACTAGTGTGTATATATCTTCCTCCTGGTCTCTGTTAGAGACGGTTAGTCACTAGTGTGTGTATATCTTCCTCCTGGTCTCTGTTAGAGACGGTTAGTCACTAGTGTGTGTATATCTTCCTCCTGGTCTCTGTTAGAGACGGTTAGTCACTAGTGTGTGTATATCTTCCTCCTGGTCTCTGTTAGAGACGGTTAGTCACTAGTGTGTGTATATCTTCCTCCTGGTCTCTGTTAGAGACGGTTAGTCACTAGTGTGTGTATATCTTCCTCCTGGTCTCTGTTAGAGACGGTTAGTCACTAGTGTGTGTATATCTTCCTCCTGGTCTCTGTTAGAGACGGTTAGTCACTAGTGTGTGTATATCTTCCTCCTGGTCTCTGTTAGAGACGGTTAGTCACTAGTGTGTGTATATCTTCCTCCTGGTCTCTGTTAGAGACGGTTAGTCACTAGTGTGTGTATATCTTCCTCCTGGTCTCTGTTAGAGACGGTTAGTCACTAGTGTGTGTATATCTTCCTCCTGGTCTCTGTTAGAGACGGTTAGTCACTAGTGTGTATATCTGCCTCCTGGTCTCTGTTAGAGACAGTCACTAGTGTGTGTATATCTTCCTCCTGGTCTCTGTTAGAGACAGTTAGTCACTAGTGTGTATATATCTTCCTCCTGGTCTCTGTTAGAGACGGTTAGTCACTAGTGTGTGTATATCTTCCTCCTGGTCTCTGTTAGAGACGGTTAGTCACTAGTGTGTGTATATCTTCCTCCTGGTCTCTGTTAGAGACGGTTAGTCACTAGTGTGTGTATATATCTGCCTCCTGGTCTCTGTTAGAGACGGTTAGTCACTAGTGTGTGTATATCTTCCTCCTGGTCTCTGTTAGAGACGGTTAGTCACTAGTGTGTGTATATATCTGCCTCCTGGTCTCTGTTAGAGACAGTTAGTCACTAGTGTGTGTATATCTGCCTCCTGGTCTCTGTTAGAGACGGTTAGTCAGTAGTGTGTATATATCTGCCTCCTGGTCTCTGTTAGAGACATTTAGTCACTAGTGTGTATATATCTTCCTCCTGGTCTCTGTTAGAGACAGTTAGTCACTAGTGTGTGTATATCTTCCTCCTGGTCTCTGTTAGAGACATTTAGTCACTAGTGTGTATATATCTGCCTCCTGGTCTCTGTTAGAGACAGTTAGTCACTAGTGTGTGTATATCTTCCTCCTGGTCTCTGTTAGAGACATTTAGTCACTAGTGTGTATATATCTTCCTCCTGGTCTCTGTTAGAGACGGTTAGTCACTAGTGTGTGTATATCTTCCTCCTGGTCTCTGTTAGAGACGGTTAGTCACTAGTGTGTGTATATCTTCCTCCTGGTCTCTGTTAGAGACGGTTAGTCACTAGTGTGTGTATATCTTCCTCCTGGTCTCTGTTAGAGACGGTTAGTCACTAGTGTGTGTATATCTGCCTCCAGGTCTCTGTTAGAGACAGTTAGTCACTAGTGTGTGTATATCTTCCTCCTGGTCTCTGTTAGAGACGGTCCCTAAGGAATTTGCCATGCCTGGGCTCAGTCCTAGCTGCAAACCGTCTGCTCTCCTGAAGTTCTCCAAGAGTCTCGATTCCCCCTGCCCTGTTCTCTTTGTGGGAGCTGTATTTTGTAAGACTTAACTCAGGACATCTCTTTTTAAGGTTGCTGGATTAGCAAACCACATGTAAACTAGGATACCCAGTTAAATTTAAATTTCAGATATACCATGAATACATTGGTCATGTATATCCTATGTAACATAATACAGACATGCTTATATTTTTAAAACACTTTTCCTGAAATTCAAGCAAAGCTTTGCATACTATATTGTAGCTATTTTTGACTCAGACTTTACTTAAATCTGGAGTGAAGGTGGCATACATCCTTTAGATGGACTCTGAGGTGGGGAAAGGGCTTTTCTCCCGGTACATACCTTCATGTGCAAGGGAGGAAGCATGCACCGCTAGGGGTATACTAGAAGCCAAGGAATACCCTTCACCCACACACTCCCTTGTCTCCCAAAGGGAGAGTTCTAGCCAGCAGCGCTGGCACCTACGGACGGATCCTCACTGCTCTGCCCTGGCCCTGTAGGCCCACAGCAACCCAGGTGATCTGAATGCAGGCAAGTCTGACAGCAGAGCCTTTAAAATTTTTCCACTCACGACTCCTTTATACCCAAGAACTCGCTGCTCTGCCCAGATGTACAGTTATTTAAGGTATGGATACATTTATGGATAACGAGGAATAAAGAAATTTATTTTAAAGCAATGCTTTGGTATACATACAAATTTACCACTTATTAAAAATGAAAGAAAACCTGTATACTACTGAGATGGACATGCTTGTTTTATTTTATATTTATTTAATATTACATTATCTTACTATTTTATGCAATGAATTATCTCTTAGCTGAATATTTCACACTGCAGAGGATAGGATATCTTTAGCATGTCTCAGACTCGACTGGTTTTGATCACTGATGCTGAAAATGTCACTTTACAAGGTACAGAATGGCAGAAGTGCGTTCATGGACACTTCAGAAACTGCTGGAAAATATGCCCTAATCACAACCTACAACTCACTGAACAATTCTCAAGAAATTAAAGTCTAAAGCTCAGACAACAGTTTTTTTTTTTTAAAGAGATTTATTTATTTATTTTGTATACGGTGTTCTGTCTGCATGTATGCCTGCGGGCCAGAAGAGGGCACCAGATCTCATTACAGATGGTTGTGAGCCACCATGTGGTTGCTGGGAATTGAACTCAGAACCTCTGAGCCATCTCTCCAGCCCCAGACAACAGTTTTTAAAACCTATCATGAACAGAGAACAATCCAGAGCTACTTGATGCCTACGTGCTGAAGCACAGCGTGTTTCTGTGAGGGCCGGAGATCTGTATGCACAGCACGAACACTGCAATTGGAAACCTCTAACAGACTGGAATCCGAGCACAGGTCCCAGGCAACGTTTTACAGAGCGTGCTCAGGGCCCAGGCAGCTTTGGAGTCACATGGTGCAGCACGGGCACGTGCTACCAGAATCACCCACGCTCATTGTGTGCTTATACATTATTTGAGCAGCCAGAACCTTTTAGCAAACCCCACATTCAGTCCCATGCCCTCCTCTGCAGCCTCGACCCAGCCTAAAAAGCTATGACCTGTGTATGTCAAGGACGTGCAGATAGAGCTGGGGGAAAGACTCCTTCTTCTCCAGAAATAAAATGGGCTCCGGCTGCTCCGCGGGTACCGCTTCTGAATCCCTGTTTGTCAATCTGAGCTCCACTCACCTGTGAGGCTGAAGCCATTCTCTGAGCCTGGCTTCTCCAGAGCAAAGAGCCAGCCAAAGAGGCCTCCAATTGGGATGACGGGGAGAAGAGCCTGGGCTGCCGGCTGTGGGATGTGGCTGATGGCAGTGTAGGCTCTGCCATCATTGCCCACGATGTAAGCGTGCAGATCCACGTCAGAGAAGTGCACAGGAGTGTGACCCACTCGGAGTCGGCCACTCACTTTCCCATTGACTCGGTGAGGTGCCCCTGAAAGACAAAAACAATCCTCTCAGTTTTGGGCGCCAGCAGGCTGGGAACAGGTAAGCACAGATGACACGACTCCCCCTGAATACTCCTATGATCACTCTTTGGAAAAATCACTTCATTATTATTATTATTATTATTGATGTTGGTTTTCCTGAAATAAGATCTCTGTGGATGCCACCTTAAAGCTCACTACCAGGGCTGGAGAGATGGCTCAGAGGTAAGAGCACTGACTGCTCTTCTAGAGGTTCTGAGTTCAATTCCCAGCAACCACATGGTGGCTCACAACCACCTGTAATGAGATCTGGTGCCCTCTTCAAAACATGCAGACAGAACCCTGTATACGTAGCAAATAAATAAATCTTTAAAAAGCTCACTATGAAATCCAGGCTAGCCTTCAACTCTGAACCCTTCCTCCTCAGCCTCCTTCCCGACTGTTAGGACGGTACGCATGTACCACCACATGTAGCTTAACAAGTCCCTCCGATGATGAGCTACGAACCAACCACTCATGTCTGACTCAGTCCTATCTGGGATCTCTCCAACACTCCTTCTTTCCTCTCCACTTTGGCTCTACAGAGTTAGGAATGGGCAAAGTGGAAACATTTCTAGTTAATTCTCAAGTTGGGAAATCAGTACAAACCATGTATTTATCACTCAGTCACTAGTGCTGTGACTCACATGGCAGAGATGTAAGATCACCTATTAGAGCCCGCACTGTAACCAGAAACAGGCAAACCGTGACCCTACACACAGCAGCCTGTCAATCACCTTCTGGCAGACAGTGCTTCCCGTTTCCGTAAAACCTGGACTGGCAGTGGCAGCAGAAGCCAGTGGAGTAGTCGGTGCAGAAGGCATGCTGGGAGCACTGGCCATGGCTGTGTTCACAGGTTTCCCTGGCGGCACCATTATACGAGAAGACTGCAAAATAAAACAAACATTGGAAAGGCCAAAGGATCCGGCATTGTCACCACTAAACGTCATCAGACACCGCATCTACTCCACAGTCAGCTTGGACTGTAACAAACAAATAGCATTTGATGCCGAAGAGATAGGAGTAGCATCAGCCTGGGGGACTAGCTTGCTTTATATTTTCTGGCAAGAAGCTGAGGTCGCTGCTGCCAACTGGGTCTTATTACAACACCAGTGAGCTGGGCTTCAGCTGCACCTCTGTGGTCTGAGAGCGGTCTCCAAGGCAAACCATTCTTGCAGATTAGAGTGTGCTTTATGAAATCAACATCTGGTGAGTAAAAAACAAAAAAGGCCAAACACTAGCAATTTCGTATGATTCAACACAAGAGTAACGACCTTCTGAGAGCAAGGCAAAGGAGGGAGCTGAGATGCAGGGACTGCAGCTAACTTGGACGGAACCCGTACTTAAAGGATGCACACACGCTTGCCTTCAGATGCACAAGGCTTGGGGAGGAAAAAGAACCAGTAACAGGGCTAAGGAGTTCTCGGTCCTTGCAGGTCTTGTCCTTTCCAGTGCAAGTATGATTTCTATGCAAGAGAAACAACCTAGGCTGTAGTCACAGATGTTCTACAAAGCCACAGTGAACCCGAGTAAACTTGATGCCCCAGGGATTATTGCTCAAACCGCCCACATACTCTACCCAGTAAAGAAAGATATTTGTGCAATAGAGAGAAGGGAGGGAGGGAAGAAGATAAGAAAGAGGGGGAAAAGACCATCATGTAATTGTCTATAAAAGAGATGGCCAAAGTGTGTCTGGGAATTGGGTCACAGGCAGGTTAAGTGCTTTGTACCAAGATGCTGGGCCAATCCCAAGCACGGCCACCAGGAGGCAGGATGGCTGTGCGTGTCTTTGCCTCCCCCAGGAGCCAGAGTAGGCTGGAGACACCAAGAGAATTTGGATCAAGCAGGGAGGGCAGAGAGTTTTAGTGCATTCTAGCCACTGGAGCTCACATGAGCACAAGCTCTGGCCACTCATAGGAAAAAACAGGTTGTGGTGGCCTTCCAGGGCCAGGTCTGAAAACAGGGAAACAGGAGTGGGTGGAGGGAGTTGAAAACTCACTATTTAGTGTTCCAGGTGAGAACAAAAACGAAGACAACGAAAAGATCTACTCCCCGTATGCAACAATGCACCCGGCGCAAACACTTGCATCAGCAAACACAAGTGTTACAGAGATAACATTTAAGTTGGCTTGATTTAGACCAGGCACTCTTCGGCCAGCTTTAACATTAACTCTCCCCGGGTAGCAAGTGCTACTTTTAATCTGTTTTCCGGATAAAGGGAAGCAAAGAGGATTAAGATGACTCACCTGGAGTCATGAGGGCTGTGGACAGCTGGAACTGAACCCTGAAGGCTCGGATCCTTACTACAGTGGCGCCCAGCTAAGGCTAAGGGTGGGGTCAGGTTTGCAGCATGTTGAGAAAAACAGGCAGGTGAGAAATGGGGAATGAAGACAGCCCAGCAGTGAAGGGCAGAAAAGACCCGAGTTCAATTCCTGGCACTCACGTGGGTGGCCTCACAATCACCAGGAACTCCAGCTCCCCGGGTGAGAAATGGGGAAAGGGAATGAAGACAGCCCAGCAGCGAAGGGCAGAAAAGACCCGAGTTCAGTTCCTGGCACTCACGTGGGTGGCCTCACAATCAGCTCCCCGGGATCTAGCACCCCCTTCTGGACTCTCTGGGTATCTACACTCAGGTGCACGTTCCCAAGCACAGACAGGCATCAACACTAGCATACTTATTGAGAGCACCTTAGGCATTCCTTTTACAGTTGCAGCATCATTGAGAAGCAGCAAGCAGCGGGGTCCCTGGGTCAGAACACCTTGGTTAAAGGGAAAAGCTGGTGAGGAGCTGTAAGAATGGAGTCAGTGACTTGCCTGAGAAATTCCAGCTTGATAAAAGTAGGAAATTAGGCATAATTCTACTTCTTTTATTTTTTAACAAGAAAGTGACAAGCATAACTTTTTTTTTAAATAGAAAAATAACAAAATTTGTTACAGGAAACAAAAAGGCAGAATGAATTGTGACAAGAATAGCACAGCCTTTTCTATGTAGAAAACTACTTGTTATCATTGGTTTAAGGATGTGTGTGTGTGTGTGTATGTGTGTGTGTATGTGTGTGTGTGTGCGTGCGCGTGTTTCAGTTCCATCTGATCAAAAGAAAAGTTTTCACACGTGGCCTGGCTTGCAAATTAGGGGAGTGATGGATGGGTTTGTGCTGTGTTTCTGCTGTGTGTTATTTTGTGAAGACATACTGCCCCACTTACTCTAAGCCTCATCAGGAAATGAAGAGGGGACTAGAGAAGGGAGAGCTAGGTTAATTCAGCTAAAACACTAGATGTGATCATAGCATGCGTCATGGAGCATGTCCAGTAACTCACAGGAGACTACACATGCAAAAAGGGAATCAGCTTTCTCTCTACCACACGAGTCCCAGGGGTCACACCCAGGTCAGCATGCATGGTGACCGTCTCTCAGGTTCCAGAAAAGGGCTCTAAAGTTAGTAAGAAAAACCAGAATGAAAGATGATAAAAGGCTTCTTTGTAACAGCTGTAAGACTCATAATAACTTCGATGAATCAACTATCTATTGGTAAGCTAACCTGACACTCTTCTCAGGAAATTTGTCATTGTAAGAATGGAACTTGAGCCGGGCGTTGGTGGCGCACGCCTTTAATCCCAGCACTCGGGAGGCAGAGGCGGGCGGATCTCTGTGAGTTCGAGGCCAGGCTGGACCGACAGCCTCCAAAACAATACAGAGAAACCCTGGCTCGTAAAAACCAAAAAAAAAAAGAAAAAAAAAAAAAAAAAGAATGGAACCTGAACCAAGCACACACCCTTTTCGGTCATGTGGCAGCCCCAAACTGGGGAAAACTTACTTCCCTTATACCGTCTTCCACACCCACCTGCACACACGCTTGCACACTTAACACCTAAAACGGAAACATGTTAGTGAAAGCAAGCATCGCATGCAGTCCTTTCTTTCATTCATCCACCAGTTGAACAGCTATTTACCCAACATTCTCTCTGAGCCATGGGCCAGAAGCCAGGCAAGCAGCTGCCATTCTCCTGGGCAGCAGCCAATAAGCAAGTATGGCTGACTTCAGTGAGCTGGGGCCTTGGTACTGCAAACCTGCTAGGAGGCTCGGGCAGAGCCACAGGTCTTGTCTGGGGGGGGGGGGGGTGAGAAAGGGAAGAGTGCGACACCAGCCAACGTGGAAAACCAGGAGGAGCTGCACCCCACCCTGACAGCAACGCCCACCCTCAGCATGGCGCCATCTCCCGTCTCAGGCAGGGTTAGTACATCAGGAACACCGAGACAGTCGTTAAAAAGACCAATTCTGAGGCCCACCTTAAACCCACCAGTGCCTTCCCAACTCTCTGCGGGAATGCCAGGAATCTGTGGTTCCGCCTCCACAAACTATACATGGTCAGAACGCTCCACAGCCGAGTCTGGGCAGGCAGTGGGCAGAGGCTGCCAGGTCTAAATGAGCTCAATTTGTCACAGACGTGTCATCTGAGGCCGGATAACTGCACACGGCATCTCGGTGTTAGGGTTTTTAAATCTCGCTTCTTGTATTCTCCATTTAATGTTCTTTTTAAAAAAGTTTTCTCACATCCTCTAATAGAAAGGAAAACGGGGTGGGGATATATAGCAAACGAAGCAGACGTTGCCAGAGTATTTGGGTCTTACCCTAATTAGGAGTTTTTAACAAAAATAGAAAATTCTCCTCTTTACTTGTTCTGACCCATCCTTCAATCTTAGTTTTGTTTTTGTTTTTTTCCAGAAAGGCTTAAGCACTTGTCTTCAGCCTTGCGAGAGGAGGTCCCATAGTGCACTTCACAGAGGACACAGGGTTTCCTTAACCTGTCCCACGCAGCTGGGCAGACTTGTGCCTTTAACAACACTGTACAGCTACCTTAAGAACAAAAATCAATGCTTTCACTGCAGAGCAGATCCCCCCCCCCATTTCCTCACCACCCGGAAAGACAGACCACACAGGAGCACCACATCCTCTTTAGCAACAGCAGTGGCGTGCCTTCCCTGCCAATCTCCATGGTCACCTTTTGTGTATCAGCAGGGTGGGTGACCACACTGGTGGCAAACTATCAGACTTTGTTGTGGCAGTGAACACCAGCTGTCAAGACACTAACAAGCTCCCACCCATCTATCACCTTCTGGACAAGGGGCAGGACAGGACCCATCAAGGAATCTCTGCACACAGGTGTCCTCAGAGGAGTGGGAGCCTCGACTCACAGACTGTCTTGGCAACCTGGAGGCAGCCACAGGTGTGAGGTTTTGGGGTTTGGAAAGTCAGGTTAAGTGCACAGCATGTTAGAATTCTTCCAAGAATGGACGTCCAGTGAGGACAAGGACACTTACATAACACCCCCGGAAGACCAGGAGAGAGGAATTCGGACTCTTCCAGGGTGAACGACTTCCAAACAGAAAAAAGAGACCCCTCTCTGGGGCAGAGCACACAAGTGATCTGGAGCCCAGGGGCTCTCCCTTCTGGCTCCCATTGCCGACTGAAATCATATTAGGGTTCTTACAGAAGAGCCTCAGCAGGTTCAAGAGCACCAAACCCCCTTAGTCAGCCTCACCACCTGTCCCTACAACACAGGCCGTCCAGCTGAAGCTTCTCTGGCCAACTCCTTAGCTAAGCCCCACCCCGACTCCATTTCCACCTCTGTACCCACCTCTCCAGAATGCTCCCACACGCTCCCTTCTCTTGCCTCGGACTCAGATCCCCAAGACCTCCTTCAAACACCCCCTCCTCCAGTAAGACTTCCCTGACTGCAGTCACAAGCACAGATGTAGCCCTCAATGGAATCCCTGTCCCTGCTGCAATGCCTGCCTCATTTCCAGCCTACAAAACAAAAGGGCTAACACTGTCTCCCTCCAGTCAACTCTGATCATCAACCTAAACAATGCAATCTAAAGCAAAGTCCGTTCTCAGAAAAGTGGCAGACTCAACGCAGCTCAAGCTCCCTCAGAGAAAAGCATGTGGCTGTTTGGGTAATTTCTTGGCTAGACAACAAACTACTGCTGAATACAGGTCACCTCAGAGATACTCACACATTCCCTGTATTGCTGGCGTTATGAGCTATGAAAGCAGAGTAAAGCAAATAATACAAAGCCAGAACCCGAGTGTGCCTGATGCATAGTTTGAAAAGAATCTAGAATTCTTGAATTAAAAAAGTCTGTAGGTAGTCAAGCATGTTGGTGCATACCAACATGCCAGAACTCAGAGATAAAGGCAGGTGGATCAGCCGGGCGGTGGTGGTACACGCCTTTAATCCCAGCAGAGGCAGGCGGATCTCTGTGAGTTCGAGGCCGGGCTGGACCAACAGCCTCCAAAACAATACAGAGAAACCCTGTCTTGTAAAACCAAAAAAAAAAAAAAAAGGCAGGTGGATCTCTGTGAGTTTAAGGTCAGGCTGGTCAACATACAAGTTTCTAGCAGACCAGGCTACAGAGTGAGACCCTGTCTCAAAATTAAATAGATGGCCAGATGTTGGTGGTGCACACCTTTTAATCCTAGCACTCAGGAGGCAGAGGCAGGTGAATGTCTGGGAGTTCAAGGCCAGCCTGGTCTGCAGAGTGAGTTTCAGGATAGCCAGACAGAGAAACCCTGTCTCAAACAATACAAAACAAAGAAAACCCTGTCTTGGAAAACCAAATAAATAAATAGATGGATGGATGGATGGATGGATGGATAGCAAGGCAGATAGATTGGATAGGTAGGTAGATAGAAGATAGATAAGTAGGTATTTAGACAGGTAAGAACAGATAGATATTTTGGGTTGTGAGTCTAGCCTTTAATGGCAGCCCCTCGGGATAGGATGGATAGATACAGATAGGTAGATGGATCGATCGATCAACTATAGGACTGGGGAGATGGCTCAACAAGAAATTACTTGCCTTGCAAGCATTAGGGCCCAAGGTTGATTCCCAGAACCCATGTTTATAAAAACAAAACAGGTGGTTCCCCAAAGCTTCCTGGCCACCAGTCTGGACATCTGGCAGGTTCTAGGCCTGCAAGAGACAGTGTTGATGGCACTCCTGAGGAGGACACTCTCCTGAGGTTGTCCTCCCCTCCGCACACTTGCAAATGTGTGCTCGTGCACACATGCAGTGTCCTAATGAAAATGCTAAGAAAGATTTTCTGGGCCTTTAACAAAATCCTAATTCCCTGGCTTAGCAAGAGGAATGCTACACACTTAAATGGGAAGCTAAAATGTATTGGAAATGGTGTTTTCTATTCAGAAAACAAGGTTCAAACAGTGTCCCTCCTCTAACTACATGACAAAGCTGTGGGGTAGTCCATTCACCACCGGGAGCCATGGGCTTTCTGCTCTACGGATGGTTCTTGCGAGGTCTCAATGATCCTCATGACAGTCACCAGCAATCCCACAGCTGCCAGACAAACCTCCAGGATGCCAGTGTTTCCCTTCACATAAACAGTAACAAATCACACGCTTCTATGCTTCAGACAGCTCACATTTTTTAAAGTGCTAGGCTTCCACACACTTGAACAAGCACAAATATTTCTAAAATAAAATGTAAAAGATTTTTTTCTCTAAGACCTAAAGACTTCTAATTAGACACTGTCCCCCTGAATGTATTTTTCATAAGCATCCTGCCATGTAAGATGTCAATAGTTGGCTACATTTGGCAGCTGATAAATACCACAGTTCATGCCCCTCCCGGGTTATGCCATTACCTCAGTTCACAGCAGCTATTTCCACTTCAGGCCCTTCTGGGCTCTTAAACAGCCACATCCAGCATTCAACACTGTAATACACTGTCAGCTACAAAGACCTCAATTCAAGAACCACAACTGAGTTACAAAAGAAAAGAGATCTCATAATGTTTTCAGTAAGTTTACAGTTTCGTGCTGGGCCACATCCACAGCAACCTCAGGCGCAGGCAACTGCACGCAGATTGGCTTTTCCTAACTGTGGGCTCTTCGTGGGCCAGGAAAACACAGTCCCCAACAAAAGGCCATTCAGACACACATCTGTGTGACTGAGAAATCCTTTGATCCATTCATGCCTGTAAATCTCTTTACACAGAAAGAAGTCACACTGAAACTTTCGGAGACTGTTAGAAGGATCTGAAAGTATTAGAACCTTCCAGAAAAGGTCCATGCCTTTGCATTTACAGAAAGCACTGCTCATCTGACTAGGTCAGGGAGAAGGGAATCAGGGCAAAATCTCTGTACTGAGTGCCTTGTTTTCACTTTTTCTGTTTGCCATCTCGGTTGTGCGTCCTGCACCGCACTTCCAATGTTTTTAATCTTCTAAAAATCAATAATGACTAATTTTAGAGACTGGATGCAGGCATTGAGAAAGTCACATATATTCACAGCAAGTCCTGCCAATACATCTACGGGAGCTCAGAGACTTGGGGGTGAAGTAAGTTTGGTATAGCCAAGATTCAAATTTGACATCAATGCTTTCGCTAATTGTCACTCAATGCTCTGTTAAACCCAAGTCTTTCCTCCTGAAGTATTTCTCCAAATAACATCCAGCAAAAAAAAAAAAAAAAAAATGTCAGCAGCCCCCAGAAGGGCCCCTTTGTTAGGTTAGTGTGTTTTTGTCAAAACATGGATGGAAAAACTGAAAAGGCGATGCATAATGGACAAGACTGTCACCTCTGACCCTTTCCTCCTGGCAGGGATCAGTGAGCAGGCCCTGAACAGGGCCAGTTTCCGGGTCCATCAGTGTGGATGAGGTGCTGTCCCCTGTGGGCATTTCCCACCCCTTCCAGCCCATCAGTGAGTCAAGCATTGAGGATAAGGCTCAGGGAGGTGAAGGCCACAGCTGCAGGGACCAGAGCCAGAAAAAATCCCATCACAGGTGTCTACCCTGTCCTCTGCAAGGGCTCTTCAGCAGGTCTGCCACAGTCAGAGCCAGACGGCTTAGCCCTCCACTCTGTAATGCCTATGAAGCCTCCAAACGGCTCACCCTCTCTGAACGTGCAAACTGAAATATTTCATTACACTTGAGAGGAGAGCTGGCCCAGGAGTCCGGTTCTTTCCCCACTCCATGAGGCTCAGTTTTTAGAGCACATTATTAATGGTCAGGAGACTCCAAGCACTCTCCTGCCAAGATTTACTTGGCAAAGGGAATTTATCTCCTTAAACGCAAGGAGGAAAAATCAGTTCCAGTCTTTTTGCTAAACTTTTCACCCATTCACTTAGAAGAAAATCACAACTCTACTTTTTGTTTTGTTTTGGAAAAGGTCTCACTCTATAATCCAGGCTGGCCTAGAACTCTCTATACAGCCTAGGGTAGCCTTCCGCATCAGCATCCCCGATGCCGGAATTACCACACGTGAGTGACATACCCAGCTTCACAACTGCACTTACCCTGGTCATTAGCACTGACATGGTCCTCCACTCCTACCACACGCCCCCCTCCACTCGGAGGGGGCACATGACCAGACACTGAGTACTCTGGAAGGACTTCTCCTTCCAGAGGAGGGACGGGAACATCTGGCTCTGAAAGCTCTGCATCGGGGTAGGGCTGGGAGTTTCCGTTCCCAAGGTCTTCCTTGTCTGGAGTCAGGAAAGCTGCATCTGCCTCCGGAGGAGACACGGTTCTGGTACCTACACGATCCAAAGGCTTCACTGGGTCCTTGGAGTCCAGGACCTCTACCTCTCCCCCAGATGCTCCCTGTTTGGTTTGAGGGTTCAAGGAAGCAGGTTCTGTTTCCCGGTAGGGTGGCCAGTCACCAGGGTGTGGCAAAGGAGAAGCCCGATCAAGATCTGGGGACGAGGTCCCACTTTCCACAGGGCCTGGATCAGCCTTGGAATTGAATGATACATCAATTCTGCTGTGGCCTTCCAAGGCCTCCCCTGGCTCAACCGGTGGGTATTCAAGGTCCTCCTCGTTCTCATCGTAGTAATCCAAATTGTCCTCAGAATAGCTCTCCAGGGCTGCAGCTTGGCTGAAGGGGTGGTCCAGCACAGCTGAAGAGCGGGCGGGGGAAAGGTCGCCTCCAACTGTCGCTGGCCTGACACTGTCCAGGGGCGCCTTGCTGCCAACATGAAAAGCCCACACGCCAGGAATTCCCAGGTTGCTTAGTCTAAGAACAAAGGAAAGAGGTGATTGTGACGTGAGCACTCACCCTCCTTCACAACTCATTTTGAAACTAAGACTACGAGGATCTAAGTCGGATTTTCCCTGATGTATGTCAAACAGAAGCAAACCGTGGTGGGCTGTGTAAGAAAGCAGGCTGACAAGACATGGGATCCAAGTCAACAGTGACGGTCCCCCGCGGCCTCTGCTCCAGCTCTGTCTCCCTGCAGGTTCCTGTCCTGCCTGAGTGTCTGCCCTGGCTTCCCTCAATGCACTGCAACCCAGGATATAAGGCAACTACACCCTTTCCTCCCCAGGGTGCTTTGGGTCAGGGTTCTATCACAGCAACAGAAAGCAGATTGCAGCAGCTGCTAGGGTTCACTTCGATGCAGAAAGCAGGCTGCCATCGTTTCTGCGCCAATTTACTTGCTGGGGTTTCTCTTTACTTTCTGAGACCTGGTCTCAGGTGGCTCAGGCTGGCCTCCAAATCACATAGCAGAGGATGACCCTGAGCTTCTCTCCCTTCTGCCTGCACCTTCCAAATACTGGGATAATAGGGGGAACCACTGTGCCAGCTTATGCCCCAGGCAAGCATTCCTCCAGCCCTCACTTGTCATGCTAATGGGAGTCAACATTGCACTAAAGAAGACAGAAATCCAAGAGCTGAGAGCTATACCCAAATTCCACAAGCAAAACTCCACAAGCTCCCACCTAGACTCCCCCTCCCCCACCCCAGTAAGTGTAATTTTAAAAACTGAAAACCGTCGTAGGGTAAGACAGAACCCTAAGAGCCTGCCTTCATCCCCACGATGGGGTGCTGCAGCTGGGAAGCCTCTTGAATTTGGAAATGGACAGCTATAAAACCTTCAAGGAGAATGAAAATACAAATTATGGAAAAGTAAAGCTAAATAAATGCCTTCTAATGAGACATAAATCAATACCCTGCTGTTTGCAGCACCAGTGCCTGATGGGAAACTAACCAATTAGTTTATCCTACACTCTGAGGTCATTTGGAATGCTTCCTGATAGAAATAACTTGTCTCCTAGAAAGAAAAACTGGATCATAAAATGGATGGCCTTGCCTTCCTGCCCGAGTTCTTAGGAAGAACACCCACCCACATTAAAGGTCCAGCACAGACCCTGTGGGCAACACTTAATAACTACTCTCTTCCCTTCCTGAATGTGCATGTTTAAATATTCAAAGGAGCACTACAGACATGAATAATGCATGACCTTGACTGAGGAGGAGATTCCAGGCAAGGAGATACACGGCAGGCTCCAGTGAGAACCAGGACCGTGCTTGTGACCTTCCTGAGACCACTAATGTTGTCCCTGTAATGCTGGGCACATGATACAATGTTTAAGCCCACGCAATGATAATACTGACAGACTCTGGAGGGAAGCGGTCTAGAAGCCAGTGCTTCACCGAAATGCGGAAGGAGGCAAAGCCCATTCTGGAAGGGCAGGTAGCACCGCTGTCACTCAAAGAAGTCGCAGGCAACTCTCCCTTTGATTTCATGCTATTCTGTTGTTTGTGTGCCTTTTCCCTTTATTAAGCATGGAGAACAGCAAATCTATCAGTCATTCTGGTCACATCTCAAACTGTTCTTCCCTGGCACTTCTGATTAGAAAGCCTCCAGGAAAGCAATGAAAGGGGAATGGATGTGGGTGGAGGGCGTGTGTGTCCATGTGCACATGTACGCCCGTGTGTGACACACGCGTGAGCGCCTTAATGTGCACATGCACACTCGTGTGACACACCCGTGAGGGCCTTAATGTGCACATGCACGCCCGTGTGTGACACATGTGAGGGCCTTTACGTGCACATGCACGCCCGTGTGACACACCCTTGAGGGCCTTTATGTGCACATGCACACCGTGTGTGACACATGTGAGGGCCTTAATGTGCACATGCACGCCCGTGTGACACATGTGAGGGCCTTTACGTGCACATGCACGCCCGTGTGACACACCCTTGAGGGCCTTTATGTGCACATGCACGCCCGTGTGTGACACACGTGTGAGCGCCTTAATGTGCACATGCACGCCCGTGTGACACATGTGAGGGCCTTTACGTGTACATGCATGCCCGTGTGTGACACACGTGTAAGGGCAGGGAAACACAACTGCTCTTCACAGGCTCTCTGCACACACAGACACGTGTGCACACATGCACTCACAGACAAACATGCACCCACTTCCTGTGGCCCATGCAGCTGCCAACCCTTTCCAGGGTTCTGGGCTGCCTGGACCTCCCTTCCCAGGTGCTGTTGTTCAGGGCCTGTGCCTTAAAAACTGTCGTTATTTCAAGTGCACAGCCCTCCTGCCAAAGGCTCTACATACAACCCTGGGAGTGAGAGTCTTTAAGCTCCTGAGTAGGAATGAGAAGAGAGGGCAGAAGGTAAGTAGTGAAATTCTAAAGTCCAGACCACACAGCAGGTGAGGAAACCCGCAGATGCCCACATGGATTCCACAACAGGAAAGGGCACAGAGGCTCTGTATAAAATACAGCCATGGTCCATGCTTCAGATCTGTGCTGAACTGCGGCTTGGCCGCTTTAGGCACCTCACCGAATTTCCATGAGGTGATTAAAAATTGAGAAGACAGCTATAGCTATTACCTATAAGTCGAGTGAGTTTTTAATTAAGATAACATCTGCAAATGTTCTGTCACAAAGCTTAGCAGATAATACATGACCAATAAATTTCCTCCGAGTTACCCCATATGCCTACCACCTAGTTGCTAAGCACAAGGGTAAGGTTGTCCTGTAAATGATGATTCAGAGCAACCTGGAGTCAATAAATCTCATCTGAGCACTAACTGGACAAATGCAGAACGGCCTAGCACCGCACTAGCAGAATAAGCCACTGGGGAGACTACGAAGCAGATTTGTCTCTGAGGAGAAATCGTGAGATTTCTAAAAGCCCCATCCATCCTCCTTGCAAATTGTATTACTTGTAATTTAATCTTCAACAATACCTGTTTGAAAGACTGAATCACGACGCCTCCTCCTCCTGAGTAATAATTAACCTGAAAAGCCTGCATTGAGACAGTTATTACTGGATATTTTTATGTGGCTCCAAGAATAATGTTTTTCCTAGCAAGCCCCAGTGGTTGTGCAAACACGCATATAATCGCTGTTGGTTCTGGTTCCTATGCCTAACGGCACAGGGAAAATAAAGGATCTTTTTTATCTTGGAGAGCCTGAAACTAGAGTCAAGCTTAGCTCCTGGAATTGCCCCAACGCCCTTCTTAGAAGCCACCAAGCTTATTATTGAATGGTCTCTGGTCACTTGAGATCACGTCCCTCCGAAATGTCCTTCCAATGGGACAGCACAGGCACACAGTCCACATAACTTACTGGTAGAGATTTTTCACAGACTGCTCAGTGTTAGTCAGGCTGAAATATGGCACCTCTCTCTTCAGGTCATCCACCTCCCCTCGGCAGAAGCCCACCCTCGCAGGGAGCTGCAGCTGGACATTGTAGGACTCTTTGGGGCGGGTTCCAAAGAACTGAAGGCCGTTGGCAGGATAGAGAAAGAGGGCGTAGGTATCAGATCCATCAGATGCCAGAACTGCCTGGAAAGTGTTCCGCTGTGGACAAATAGGAATTGGAAACATCCTTAAACAAACAAATAAACAAAAGGAGAAAAGCAGAATGTAGGCAAGGTGCCAGAGTCCAAAATCCCTGTTAGGATTTCCCCACATTGCTTTTAAGTATAGTCACCGTTAGAATTTTGTCTCCAAATTACAAATGTAACTTTGGAAGCTATACTCCTTACTATTCTTACCCTCTCCTTCCAATTTAGATCAATAGTTGGATTATGCACAAGTAAAACATGGGCTAAGGAACCTCAGGGTCACAGGGAAGAAGAGATGAGGAAGATAACGAACACTAAGGATGCTTGGAAAAGCCATATGGAACCCTACCTGTGAAAACGCATACACAACAGACGTTTAGAGTTGCTTTACATGGGGGGATGCTCCTCCTATCAGCCGCAGCTGTCAAATTAAAAAGCCCAGTGCAGTCTTGGCAGTGGTGGCGCATGCCTTTAATCCCAGCACTCAGAAGGCAGAGGCAGGCTGAGCTCTGAGTTCAAGGCCAGCCTGGTCTACAAAGCTAGTTGTTCTACGGCTACACAGAGAAAACCTGTCTCAAAAACCAAAGACAAAACAAAACAAACACAGAAAAAAGAGCTCAGTGCCAGGTGTAGGATACCTCCCACATAAGTTGTCGGTCAAGGGTGTCACAGAGCCGCCTGTATCAATGCTGGTTCTACCTACCCAATCGTGGTAGTAAGGAGATCCCGTAACTGATGACACTTGGAGAAACCAACCCGGCGCTAACTGGAAGCTCCCAGCCCTGCTAGTGCAGGCTGCTGAGGGAGAAAAGTCACCAACAGTCTCCTCATACTGAGACAGTTGAGAGAACTACAAAACAAAAGCTCTGGCAAGTCGTACTCATGGTCCCAGCACCTGAAGCAGAGGCAGGTGGATCGCTGTGAGTGAGGCCAGCCTGGTCTACAGAGCGAATTCCAGGACAGCCAAGGCTGTTACACAATGAAACTCTGTCTTGGGAGATATACACATGGGTGCAATAAGTGGCATGAATGCTATGAGGATAATCAACCACTTTCTGGGTGGATTTAAGGCATGCTGGACGAGAGGAAACTTCTGCCTGGTATTGTAAATGTGGACAAGAACCCATGCTGGGGAGGCTCATAAGCCCTTGGAGTGAATCTACAGCTGTTGTTTTGTTAAATGTATACAATATCAGCCTCCTCTGAAAACCTACACCTTTAAACCCATCCATGAGTGCAGCTCTCAGCCGAGAGGTGGAGCGCGTTGTTCGGTGGACGGCAGTTCATGTATAGACTCATGACTAGTCAAAGCACAGAGAACACACCGTCTGTGGAGGTGCTCAGCCACAGGCTGTCCCTAGAGACTCAGGGAGCATCACAGAAAAACAGGTAGAAGAAGTTTAAGAGGCAGAGGTCAGGAGGAACGGGTCAAAACAATGTCTTGTGACATGACAGTGCTACCATACTCATGAATGCATGGATGCGGGAGGGGCACAGAAGCCACCACCTGTAGCTGAGCAGATACAGACAGTTGATGACTGACAGGGTATGAAGAGTCGGTATACTTTAGGGGTGTGGTCCCTGGTGAGTGACCCCTCCCTCACCCATGCCCATATGGGCTAAACTAACTATACTCAGTGGGTTATTAAAACAAATAAAGGACTCAAAGTTGTGAGTGGACAGGAGAGAAAAGGGGGGGGTGAATATATTGAAATATACTGTATAAATGTATAAATTCTCAATAAATAACTTTAAAACAGTATATTTAAAATTTTTATGGTTCCAAACTTCTCCAGTTCAAACTCTTGAGAGGCTGAATAAGGAGCAAAATTAACTTTTTCATTCCCATAACTCAAGTCCTAGTTTGTAATTTTGTGTCTCAACATCTCTCATTTGGTCCATCCATCCATCCATCCATCCATCCATCTTCCATCCATCTTCCATCCATCCATCCACTTATCCACCCACTCAATGCCCACTGCAGGCCACGCCTCAGTCAGATACTGGCTGATCAGAAGGCCTTCTTACTGCTCTTACATCAAATTCTCTTTTTATCTTGTCACAGTGTAGGTGAGGAAACAGACCCAGGGACCTGCAAATGTGCTTAAGGTTGGGCAAGGGGTGGCGATTGCAGCCCCCAGAGCTCATGGCCTGCAAGAGTCCGCCATCTCTGCTAAGTCATTCAAGGGCGTTTGCTCTGACCCAAACTCCCCTGCCAGGTTTGACTTCACTACACCCTCAAGACAGTGTTTAATAGCCCCTATCCCTACTATGTGCTTTGATACCGTGTGCTTATTTCCCTGCACCTAGAAAACCCTGACCTTCAAGCACTGACGCCAACAGGCTTGGTGAGATTCCCATGCAACCCTACTATTCTCCAGCACCCGTTCTGTTGACTTCTGGTAGGCGGTCAGCTCGGTGGCCTGGTTTGGTTTTAAATCCCATTCACTAACTCGTTTGAATATTAATTCAACAGGGCCGAGTACCTGCTGAGCCAAAACATTATGTTTAATGCTGCAGGCTCAAGGACAGAGCCAAGGTCAGTGGCTTTGCCCCAACAACCTGCATTTTTAGGAGCGGGAAACAGCCAGGGTTGCAACTTAAAGTGGCAGAGGCCATGAGAGAAACGAGGGTGTTTAGGACATCAGAGTGGGGGTGGGGTGGCGACAGTGGCAGCAGTGAATGCAGACAAACGTTGCAGCAGCCAGGGGCAGACAGGAGGGAAGGGGCCGAATTAACACCCAGGTGACTCTGAAATCACTCTGGGTATTTCATTTACTCAGTGTCAACAGGACCCCCTGCCTTTAGCACCTTTTAAGAATTAAGGGGCACTTGGTTGTCTTAGGCACTACCATCTGCTTCTCTCATTGACCATATTTGTTTTACAATTAATAGGGAAACAGGAAGGGGATTTTTAAAAATACATGCTGTATAAAGATGATGAATGATAGGAAAACTATTTATCGGTACCATTACATCCCCATTTTGCTAAACAAGACAAAACTGGGCACAGAGAAGAACCTCAAATTTGAATTCAAGGAAGGACTATGTCCTTGTGGTTTGTCTGTCTTACTCTAGAACTTCTCAGATGTCAATTTTACCTTCCCACCATCTAATGCTGTTGATTAGACTAAAGTTGGGCTGACTGAACAAAGAAATGTAAATTTTAATATGCTCTCTCTCTCTCTCTCTCTCTCTTTTTGTTTTTTTGTTTTTTTGAGACAGGGTATCTCTATGGCTTTGATGGCTGTCCTGAAACTTGCTCTGTAGACCAGGCTGGTCTCGAACTCACAGAGATCCACTTGCCTCTGCCTCCTGAGTGCTGGGATTAAAGGCGTGCGCCACCACCGCTGGCCACTAATATGGTTTTCAAGAAGAAGCAAATCTATACACTCTTGTGCATCCCCTATGATCTCCCTGTTAAAAAAGGTTCATGACTCTTCCTCAAAAGGTCAGAATCTCTAAAATTCCCATCTCGGGTACATGCTAACACACATCATCAGTCAGGTACACACACGCCTAACACACGGCATCAGTCAGGTACACGCTAATACACATCATCAGTCAGGTACACACTAACACACATCATCAGTCAGGTACACGCTAACACACGTCATCAGTCAGGTACACGCTAACACATGACATCAGTCAGGGTGGGGCCAGTTACAACCAAGTTCAGTCACGACAAAGTTGAACTAGGGAGATAAAAGAAGCAGGACTGAGAACCCCAGCCTTAAATAACCAACGGTGGAGGCTCCTGGCATGGCGGCCACACTGCACGATAAGGGAGAACCCAGGTTCTAAATTTAGAGAATTCTGTAAGATAAGGGCGGTCTACATTGAGAACTGAAGGGGGAGGGGTCTGGGGAGAGGCAAGCAGGACTGTGATGGGAGAGTCTGGCTTTTAACCAAGGAATCTGTACACCTAGTGCTTTGTTCATGTGTCAGATAGAATGCCTTCAGCGTCTTTTCTGTCACCTTTCCGACAAGCGCTCGCTCAAGTGTTTAATTTTCTTGTCTCCACTAAAATAGGCAAATACCAGAGGGAAAAACAACAAAAACCTTCTTCTAATATAATTTATGATCCCAAAGTACACTCCAGAAGAGTTGAGCTGCTTGCAAACTACCCACACATGAACAGACCCCTTGTCAGGCTACAGACTTCCACACAGAACTGCTAAGAGGCCACTTCACAGGTCCTGAAGGGTCCCTCCTCACAAATACCCTTTGGCTGGTGTCCAAAGGGAAAGGTCCTCACATTCCCAGAGACAAGCTTTCTAAGAGCCCTGAAGGGCTCCAAGGCTCTGAAGGGAAACCCTCAGATGGACTGCCAAAAGCTACAGAAGGGTCACTGGCTCTCAACTTCCCTGGGATCCCAGAGAGGAGAGGGGCTCTCCATAGGGTGAGGGGCAGCAGAGAGGAGAAAGTGGCCTGGCTGCAGTGTCTCCAGTTTCCTGTTGAGACAGAAAACCTCCTCCTTCACAGAAACCATGCAGAGGCCGCCATGTCTTTGTAGATGCAGACTCTGTCCTTTCAGTCTTGATCTGACACTGGCAGAGTCTGGCTGATGGAAATAAAACATCAACCAGCAGAATGTCATCTTTCCCACAAGGGAGCTGCCTCTCCAGCCTTATCAAAATGATAACAAAATTAGAAATGAAAGATCCCTTCGTGGGGACAAAGTTCACTGTTCTGTCTTGCTAAGGACACGTGTTCTCTGAGTTGTCAGACCACTGAATCCTGGCCTCCCATGCTTGGCATGAACACCAACCTCCACTCCCTGAGTTCTTCCCCCATTCCTGTGGGACACTGGTATGCTCAGGGTGTTCCCTACCCATCTCTGCACTGCAGTTAAGAAAATGCCCAAGCCGGGCAGTGGTGGCGCACGCCTTTAATCCCAGCACTCGGGAGGCAGAGGCAGGCGGATCTCTGTGAGTTCAAGGCCGGGCTGGACCGATAGCCTCCAAAACAATACAGAGAAACCCTGTCTCGTAAAAACCAAAAAAAGAAAAA